ATAGAGACGCCATGCTCTATGTGAGTACACACTACAGCACAGTCTTATACTAGTACAACAACGAAAGGAGAAGAGAAAGTAAGGTTGAAGTAAGTGAAGGTTGAAAGGGGAAAAAGAAAATGAAGCAAGGTGGGAAAGAGGAATGGAGGGAGGGAAGATGGAGTCGAAAGAGAAGGGTGAGAGGACAAGAGAGAGAGAGAGAAAGAGAGAGAGAATACACATCACTTATGCATGGTTGTATATGCATATATGTACATATGGTTGCCACGTATATGTATATTCTATAATTTTTATAGGTATATATTATTGAAAAATATATACACAAAAAAAAAAGAATAAATAAATAAATAAATAAATACATATATATATATATATTAAATATATATATATATATTTATTTATTTATTTATATATTTATATTTGTGTGTATGCATACATGCGTGCGTGTGTGTGTGTGTGTATGTGTGTGTGTGTCGATGGTGGGTCAATGGGTGAATAATGTGTGGGTATGCGTACAGCATATTGTTCTCTACTAGAGCTTACTAAATGCGTGATCGAACCGAGTACTCGTCCGAGAGTAACCTGCAACAGCGAAACAATAGCCTGTCACCGCTTTCCTAGGGTCATGTACTTACATGTCTAGTTTTTTTTTAGTTACGAGTAAAAAAAGGAAAGGGAAGAGAGAGAGAGAGAGAGAGAGAGAGAGAGAGAGAGAGAGAAAGAGAGAGAGAGAGAGAGAGAGAGAGAGAGGGAAGGAAGGTGGAAAAGAAAGGGGAAAGAGAGAGAAGGAGGGGAGATAGATAGATAGATAGATAGATAGATAGATAGAGAGAGAGAGAGAAATATTTTGCGGGTGGTTTCGTGACAAGTTGAATGAAGTGGCTGCGAGTTCGCATTATATTGCGAATAGATGTCAGTAGTCTGGTAAAAGCGAATCGAGCACAAAGTATATTGGCGCAGAGGAATATTAGCGCGAAACAAAGAGCGAGGAGGCGGTAAAAGAAGGAGGAAAACGGGGAGGAAGAGAAGAAAAAGCGGAACGACAAATTTATAAATACAGCGTAAGGAACTTGTCAAGCGGTGCTTTGCGGCAACTTGAGCTACTCGCCATGCAAATCTGGATGTTAAGATTGATCAGATTCCGCATGTATACGAGCCATGTCGATTGTGTCGGATTCTATCGAATTATGTGTACATTCGTCTGTAGTTGGTTTGCTCATGAACTACCTACCTAACTATCGCATTCACGTACTTTCGCAAATATCATAACTACCTATACAGCACGTAATATCGCAATAATATTGCAATATCACAGTAATATCACTGATATATTAGGTGTGTGTATGTGTGTGTATGTGTATATGTGTAAATTGAAATATATATACATGTATATAACATTGAAATATTATTAACATTGCTACAATATATCACATTCCAAATGGCCAAGTGATTTCATATGATATATTAATAATATTTTATTGATATTAAAAATGTTATATTGAGCAAGTTATCTTCTAAAATTCAAATAGAGGCATTGAAACGAAGTAATATAATGTATACTTAAATGTTACTTAATAAAATATTTTCTAAATGTTTTTAAGTATACGAAATTGTGAAAAATATTTGTATCACTTAGTATAGGGCTTAAGTTATATATTACAATATAGGTACAGTGTAGATTTGTGGGTTTTCATGATAATTTGACATTATATTTGTTCAGTCAACCTCTTCTTTCTCTTTTTCTTTAATTTAACGCGACGTTTCATCTTAAAAGCGATGAAAATAGTTCGCTAATATACATTGTATTCATATCCATGTTAATTACTTATGCATTGTTTTTAATACGTGTCAGTAAATATGTTATTACATGTTTGTGAGTATAATAAGGATACATTATATAAATCACAAGGATATCGTCAAAGTCAATGGTTGCTGTCCAATCGTCGAAGTTTAGTAACGGTGAGCAAGGTTAGTAGTTGGATGAATGACCGACCTCCAGTCAGAATGGAAATCACACGCGACATATAAAATAACATTTTTTGTTCTCGTATAAGTAATAAAACAACTAAGAAACAATAATTTATCACTGGACAATTTATCACAGCTATTAGTATTTTTTGTAAGGAAATATAATTGTGAAATATCACTGTAATATTACTGTGATTAGTTTTGACATTTTAACATTACATTTTAATATTACTGTGATATTTCAGTAATATTGTAGTGATATTTTTGCGATATTATAATATTGTGATGGAAATATGATATTGCTGTGATATTACCGTGCTGTGTAATTATCCCGGATATTACCTGTGTGGGTAATTATCCCGGAGGGATTCGTGAAGGTAATGTTTTACAGTTTACGAAACGAAAGCAAATCGCGAGCGCGCCAGATCGAAACATTTAATGTATACGTATGTACGTGCGCACGAATGTGTGTATGTATGTGTGCGCGTGCGCGCGCCTCTCTCTCTCTCTGTGTGTATGAAGCGAGCAGAAATCTGCCGAAAAATTGTCAGCGACGTAATAAAATTTAGCGTATCTTTTTAAGAACAGCAAACGCTAATATATACTCAATAACTACGTTTACACGGCAACGTTAATCCGGTTTAGTAATAACCGTACTTAATGAACTCTTACATCCGATTGATATATTCTCCTAGAAAGTATATTCCAATTTTAAACGCAAGATCCCACTAATTACAGTTGTTACTAAACCGGACATTAACGTAGACGTGTAAACAAAGACAATGTAAAATAGAATAGCTCCCATGTACGGTTTTAGGAACGGAGCAGTGTTGGTTCAATATTGGCAACCAGTTTCCAACTCTCAGCCCAGAACTAGCATAATATTTAAATGATAAGATCGGCCCAACGTTACGCATCAGTATCGATATAACACTGGTCAGTCCAACTGACATCAATCCAACGTTGCAACGCGAGCAGGAGTTGGCTAACCGTGTTTTCCAAGTAGAAATTAAATCAGTTTCTAACCGGTAACTGGCCAGCAATTTTCTAACCAGCTAATTTCCGATCAGTTTTACTGGCGAAAACTTACAAGTTTAGGAGACGTTTGCTTCAACGATAACTGGAAAAATAATAAAACCAGTCAGTTTCCGACCAATTCCTAGTACAATTTTGAGCATTTTCATTTGTTTATTATTTTGGCGAGTTTCTGGGTAGGAAATGGCCAAAAAACACTAACTAGAATTTTAAAAGTTTTCGCTGAAAACTGAAACTGTCCAATATTAACTTATTATTTTCTCGGAATAGAGTTTATAGCAAATAACTGACTAAACATTTTAACTGGCTAAGAAAAATAATAGTATTTTTCAGACAGTTTCTGAACAGTTACTGTCTAATTAATTCAAGTCAGTAAAAACTGTCCAATTTCTATCTGGTGACTAGTTTTTCCCTAATATTTTTCTACTCGGGTCGAATTGGTGTAGTACCACAATCAGATAGCGGCTTTTCACGGCGGTACCTCCGAATGCGCTTATATGTTGCTGACAAAGTCCAAACGCGATGTATTGCTTTTCGTAGACGACACCTTCGGTGCAACCAGGCAAGAATCGGCTAACATTTTGCTATATTACATTGCAATATTGCAATGGAAATATGATATTGCTGTGATATTGTTATGCTATGTGAGCAGTTCAATAACAACAATCGTAGTTAATGAACTATCTAATTGTTATATCCTTTCAGAAAATATACTCCAATTAAACGCAAGATCTCGCTAATTATGATTGTTACTAAGTCGGATTAACGCAGTTATGTAAACAAAAACAATGTAAATGTTCGATATCGTGCCGCACTATCGAATAATAATAGTCGGTTTGCCATGACATCGCTAACGTTGACTCGATTGTCGGGTTTCGGGGGAAAGTTGGTAAATCGGTCGGCTAATACTTGGGTTACTTCGTACATGGGAATTTAGCACTTACTGCACTCGACATGTGGCACCGTGAAAGCATTTAAAGTATCGACTTTTACGAAAAGGTGCTTCAAACGACATGCTAATTTCATGAAAACTTATATGTGCACTGTAGTATATAACTTAAGCCTTTTTATTATTAAACTAAAATTTTTATGGTCGATCAATATCAATATTTCTTATCGATACTTTGTTTGCACTGCGCTTTATCAAATAATTTCTCGTAAAATACAGGAATCTCAAGAAGAATCTACCAACAACAATCCGTATGTGTCAATGATTTCTGCATATCTCGCCGTAATTGCCATTCTTGTAATACGTGATTAGCAAGGCACGCGCGTACAGTGTTTTTGAAATTACATAGCAATCAAGTCAGAGATAAAGAAAATAGAAACAAGATGCGTTGCAATATATGAAGCGCAATAATAATAATAATAATAATAATAATAAGACTGTGACGGATGACCACCGTAGTGCGCGTCATAAGATATAGCTCGTATATTCATTCCGTAGGCTTAGAACCACAAAGCGAGTCCGTCGGATATCAATCAAAACAACAACAACAACAATAATAATAACAACAACAACAACAATAATAATGATAATAATGATGATGATGATGATGATGATGATGATGATAATAATAATAATAATAATAATAATAATATAAAAGTTATTATTGGCTCCAAAATAGTAAAACAATAAAGGGAAAGAATACGTGGTCTATGAGAGCCAAACTGTCATAGACCAGATATTCTTTTCAAATAATGATAATAATAATAGTAACAACAATAATAATGGCAGTAGCATTAGTAAGTAATAGTAGTAGTAGTAGTAGTAGTAGTAATAGTCATAGTAGTTGTAGTAGTAGTAATAGCAATAGTTGTAATAGCAATATTGAAAAAAATAAGAATAAGAATAATTATATTAATATGAGAACTATCGGCGTCAAACATTTAATAATTATCTATTATTTATTATTATAAATAAATATTTTTATATTTAAATCAACGAATGTCTTCTCGTAACGAACACACATTTTTGTCAACTCTTATTAACTTACTCGGGATACTTCACGTTAGGCAACGCCTTTAGGAAGCAACGTTGGCGCAGTATGCCTTCCCAGAGCTGCACACCGACGATGCCGAAGATGAAGAAGACGAAGAAGCACAGTAACAGGACATTGCCCAGCATAGGAAGAGTGTCCAGTAACAACATCACCAATATCCTCATACCTGTAGAAGTTACACGGAAGTTACAGGGATTGGGATTGAATTTAAAATTCCGTTACAGCTTCCGGGATCCTCTTAACACTTTCCAAATTTCACGTCTATCTTATTTTCATGTCTATTCGATTCAGTGAATGCACAATTGATAGTACTTATCAGTCTGTATCGTGAATCGACTTTTATATAGTACACTGTCTCTAATTTTCCACAAACAAAAGTCTAACAATATGAGATCTGATGATTTCGGGGACTAAACTGTTAGTTTTCCCCAACCTATCCTAATTCCCTCACTCATCGAAACTAATCATGTCCAATGTTTTCAAACAACAAACATAGGTATATTAAACATAACAGGTAAACATCGCCAATTTGCTCTTACATTGCAATGAATCCACAACAAGCTCACTAATACATTTATGTTTAATATCTTTATTATGTTTAATATCTTTGTTATAAGATTTTAACAAAACATTTCTGGAAATCCATGTTTATATACATTTTTTTCTGCTTTCATACCGGCGGAACTTGATCGTTCAATTTTGAGAATAGCCTATATGCGTAATCCGATATTATTTTTTTTATATTTCGCCCTCTGCACTTCATATAATCGCATACTTCGTGCCAAATTCTTTCCAATCGCTTGTAATTCAAAAGCCATTCCAGAGCTTCGACAATTTTATGGTAAAATGGGCTCTATCAAAGTGAAGAATCAGTTTAAGAATCTGTTATTAAAATTACGATCGTGACAGTCAGTATATTGTAGATTAAATGCGTTTCACATTCACGCAAATCAACCTTATTGATTGAGCATGATATTCGATCTTAATATCTGAAACGAAATGTCTCCTGTTGCGAACTTTATTAATTTCTCGGTCAAGATGCGGTTAAATCTGTATCGTCTCCATTCTTTTTCAATTACATCATGAAATCAACCGTGAATGTATTTACGCGGTGTATAAACGCAGTTGTGTACATACGTGATAGTGCACCATGAAATCGACAACAGGAAAGTGCTGGTTAATCGTCATCGGTTTTTCACACGTTTCACGAAAGCGGAGGCATCCAATTTTATATATACTTACTTGGTATTCGATTGATCGCTCGTAACGGCCTTAAAACCCTTATCGTCCGTATGGCTGACAGATTCATATTTTCCACGTTTAGGCAGTATTCGAAAGCACTATAACGAAACAAAGGATTCCTCGTTCAGTGTATGTTCTCCATTTCTTGAATTCTTATAACGCATATTTTACAATTTTTATATTATATACATATATACATACATACATACATATGTGTGTGTGTGTGTGTAATATTATGTATATATATATTATGTTATTTCAATATTTTTTATTAAATCAATATGTATAAATGTTAAAATAACATATTTTATATTTCAGTACCGATTAACTTATTACGAATGTCAATTTTACTGAATAAACATTCTATATTATTGGTGATATATCTTATATGTTAAAATTTACAGACCAGCTGTGTTAATTACTTTCAGTAATGGTTGTCATTTTAAAACTTAAATAACACAAAATATACGAATAATTAAGGAGTAGAAATGGTATAGTATGTAATATGCGATTCAAAATCCAAAGTTCCCAATTTTGAAACCTATCTTTGTGATAAGCATATTTTTTAAAATATGATAATTGAATCAGTTAAAAATTAAAATATATAATAAAGAAGATTTCATGCAATATCATTGATATCATCTTAATAACAACGCAATTTAAAAAAAAGTGATAAATAGAAAGTTTTTTCAATATAAAATAGCGCTTTCTTGTGTTACGTTTGCTATAAATATTATAAAATTCTAATATTTTAACGTAAAATTTGTTTTCAAATATAGTGTCACACACACACGCGCGCGCGCATAATGTCATATACATTTTCTGTATTAATTTTTATGTAATATTCGTGTGACTTTTTAACATATTTTTTTATTAAATTAAAACGAAAATTTAGGACCGTTTGGAACATGTTAAATATGTGCAATATCATTGATATCATCTTAATAACAACGCAATTTAAAAAAATATGTTACATTTAGCACAAAATTTATTTCCGTGAAGATATAGAAAAAAATCAAATGTCCGACCTTAGTACTCACCCAGCTAGCACTATAAAGAGGTCTAATCTATTCCAGGAGTCTGCGAGATAGGTTCCTTTACCGTAAATCCCCATCGCCACCATCTTGATAGTCATCTCCAGGGAGAAGAAGGCAAAAATGATATCATCGAACATCTAGAAGAAGCAGCCGGAAAGACGCGACTTAACTAACGTGATCAACGTAATTCGCCGTAATTGATTAAGAGTCACTCGGTGAGAATTCGATTAACGGGCCGTATCAGCTTTATAATTTTCTCATCTCTTTCCCATCCTCCATCCTCTTAGTCTTGGTCCTTCTGCCACCCTACCAATTACGAGCAGGCCGGAAATTGTATCAAGGCATACAATCGATCAATTCACTTATTGACGCTCTCAGTAATCGCGGTTATGTCGCTTTCGCAAACCTCCAGTGTGAGAACCGATTGAATCGAATTTTAAATCCACCTGGTGTTCGATATCATGCAGTTTCTTTTTCGCAAAACACAAAAAAGCAGCCGAAAAATCCGGAAACGGTTAGCAAGACAAACTTGTGGAAATATTAGGTGTACAAATGAATTTTCGGCCTTTTTGAAATGAAAATTAACGTTTATTTATATAAACTCAGAATACACTTTAAACAACAAAATAATCTACAACAGCATCTACACATTTTTGCCATCTTTCGAGTAGGTGACGAATTCCCTCTTGGTAAAAGGACGCCGGTTTAGAAGTCAATAAAATCGGTGATGCATTTTTCGACCTTTTCGAAAATTCTAAAATGGGAATCTGTTAAATAGTGTCGGAAGGACCGGAACAGGTGAAAATCTGACAAGGCTGGATCTGATAAATACACCGGATGTGACGAAATTTCCTCAATGAATTAAGCATCTTCTTGATTACTTCCGCCGTATTAGCCTCGTATTATCGCGCAATGGAATGACCAGCTTAGGCCCGTCGCCCATAAAGGTCACTTTTTACATGTGCTGGAAGACACAGCACCTTCCCCTAATGCCTCACAAATCATTTTCTTCGCCTCGGACGTGTTTTTTTTCAACTAAAATGCGAAGAGCAAACAGTGTCTAATGTATCGCTTGTCAGACACCATCGTGTTTGCTGCGCTCACGGTGAATCGTTTGGAATTATGTCAGCTATACATCCCTATTTTATGGTTTATTGCGTTGATACTATACTTAATCCTGAAATTGGGGGCGAAAATTTTCCGCTTAAATAAGCATTATAATTGATTTAATATCACGGCCGAGAATTAATTTGTACACCTAATACTTCTCATTTATCGTGTCTGACAACCAAATACTTCTCTCAATCTCCAATACGCGGTAACGCAAATTATCTCTTCTTCATCTGGGATTTCGCTGAATAAGTACTCATGTATATACGCACCTGCAGTATCTTACACCGATTCGTTACACATTTATCATCCACGCACGGCTGGTACATCCCGAGCGTGATGCAGTTCAGAAGTATCACCATCATGCTCACTCTCTCGAACCACGTGATTACTTGTTAAGGAAAAACCGATAAAGTCTGCGTGTTTTTCTCGATGTTTTTCGAAATCGATTGTTTGCCGTGTCGGTAGTTTTTTTGTTTCGATGTTGCTAAATTTTATTACTAGAAGTCTTAGTAGATCTCCGCCAGTCTTAAATCTAGGATGTACCGTAAAAATTATCTATTTACAGTTAAATATTTCCTCAAAATAGTGTTCTTAAATTTATTTGATGCATCAACATCCTTAATATTATTGGTCAGAAGGATCATAGAGACACGATTTCAATAAGAAAATAAATGTGTTGTCAATGTCTTTATGATAACACCCAGATGGCCAGACCTGCGTAAACAGAGCTTTCGAGCTTGCTACAAATTCTTGACGGCGGAAAAGCAATAAATCTAACACACAGGATCCATTTTATCAGATTATGTTGCCAAAGTGCCGCTAGAAATACGACAGAGCCTGCTGACAGATGCGAAAAGATTGGCGGCTGAAATCGAGCAAAGCGATCTGACAGCAGTTGGACTGCGGAAATCAAGCAAACCCTGTTGGACGCGCAATTGGGCAGCAGACTCCGCGCGGTTTCCGCTGTCAATCTGCTCATGCGACATCTGCCACGTTCTATCGCCGAAACACGGCGAGTTGAATGAATGAGAACACAGTAAGTCTGAAATTTGGCAGCCTCACTCGACAGGGAACTACTGCCTGACTCATTAACAATGCGCAAGCAAACGGTTAGCTGGATATTGCCTGGCATCGATAGAAACAAATGAACATCACTCGTCATAAATCGAACGCGTAAACTGCATGTTCAACATAACAAAATCAAAGTTTATTTGATTTTCATGACGCACTACAGCGACCGTTTTCCGTCCGTCATCCCGTAAAAAGCTTATCATGTACGCCGTAGCAAAAAAATTAAGTTTATCCATTTATGACGGAGAATGTTAATGCAAAATTTTGAAAATAAACGCATTCTTCCGCCGGCGTGAATTTCATAAGGCGTGCGATACGCGGCTCTGAAGATAATCAACATACATTACGCGAAGTAGCCTATAAGAGCCGACGGACACGGATGTTTTTAGCGCGCGATCAAAATAGAACAGTCGCCCGGCAGGCGAAAGATCTCGGGTTCGATTCCCGGCTTAACGCGTGGCCCCGTTATTTTTCCTCTCTTTACGAGTAATAATAAGAATGATCATCCTGAGCGTCCTTAGAAACGGAAAAAAGATTCGACTACTTCTATTCGCGAAGAATCTCTAAATGGTTATCACGCATGAAAATTCGAACGACTCCGGCGAAATTTTTATGCTTATTACTTGTCCATCGATAAAGGATAGAGGACCGTGAACGGTAATTCAGTAATTAAGTGCTATGTACTCGTCTGTATGACACTTCCTTTAAGAATTATATGTTCTTAAAAGAATTTTCTTAAGATTTTCCTAAGAAAATTCTTTTAAATATATATATATATTTAAAACTTTTTTAGTTGATCGCACTGAAAACCGTGTGCTGACTCTTATAGGCTACTTCGCGTAACGTATGATAAAATGTTGAGATGCTCGAAAATTTATTCGGCTGCTGTTAAACCAGACTTTCTTTTACTACGATATTTTACGAATATGATGGCATTTATGGAAAAGTATTCATGTTCCAAAAAAAAAACGTTTAGAAATTTAGAAATTCCCTTTTTATAGTCACTGTCACAATGATCATATAAACAAAACACTTAGCCAACTCGACCCAAACTTTTCTATGTGCCAACATCGAGCTGCTTATCAGCGGAAAATCTAAATAATTCCGTGGATTAAGCTCGAACTGCTCGCATCGAAATTGCGTTCGTGTATAATAATACATGAAACGAATTATCCGATAGAAATTAATTTAAAATTCAATCGCAATAATCCTTGTGCGCGCATAAACGTCCGTCACTTCTGCGTGTGTGTCCGAAGATTCATAATAACATTTTATGATTTTAACGTTTTATATTAAAAATTTATGATGCTTTCTATCTCCAGAATGGAAATAAATCTTTTCATTTTGCTATTCTAAGGCAAGAACAAAGGTGGATAAGGTAAGAGATTTGATCGACTCAACATTATCGAAATTATCAACATTAACAAAAATTTTCAGCATTAATCATTGATATTATAATCACGAGGAGTGTTCAAATTTAAATTATAATTTATTATTTAATCAAAAAGAGTAACATATAAAAGAAGTAATTTACATACTATCAGTATAGTCTCCCTCCTTTTCAATGTACCGGCACAATCTTTCCGGTAGCTTCCATATTCCTTGAGAAAAAAATTCTTCCGGTTGCGGATGCACCCACTCTCAAACAGCTTTGACGACTTCTTCATTGAAACGAAACTTTTTCCCCCCTAGAAACTCTTTTAAGGATCCAAATACATCTCCCTTTTCTTCATACTGTGCCAATAGTGAATGAGCCATCTGCAAACGTGTCTGCTTAAATTCGTTTACTCTTTTAACCGGATAGAAATGGTTTGCTTGGTAACTCCTAACGCTGCAGCTAATTCTACTTGAGTTTCGCATGAATTTTCGGCCAGCAGCTTCTCCAAATCGTTAATCAAAGTTAATATTCCGTAATTATCGTGTATAGAAAAATATGTTTTACGAAAATATAGAAATTTGTACGTGTGTTGTGTACATATATGGGACGAAATAAATTTCCTTCGCTCTTATCAGTCACCTTGCCCTACTTTTCGGAAAAAGCAATTCAGGAATTGACAAATTTTAAGCCGTTCATTTCACCCTGTGTAATAGAATGACTATCTGTTACTACGATGTCTGAAAACAAGAGTTAAGTTTCTCGTAACGTAATATTTCCCAAATTTATCGGCCCCTTTTTCCATATAAATGCTGAATTACCCAATTTCCGTCAAGGAGAAAAAAAAGTGAAAACACCGGATTTGCGATTCCGTTTTTTTTTTTGATGGAACAACTGCTTTATGAAGAAACAAAAATCGTTTTCTTCTGCCGTGTAATAATGTCCACTTTTCATGTAACGGACTGCGCGTCGGCAAACTCGACCGTTCGACTGGACTATTTTCATTCTGATTCCGGGAACGACAGGCTACGGGCGTTCCTTATTTCCGGAGTGAGTAATTAATTCGTTACTCGGGAATAACGCGAGCGCGAGAGGGTACAAATGCTTTTTATCTTGGAAGCCCGCGTGCGCTCGCTAAATATAAATTCCGCCCCGTTTTGTCACCACGTTGCCACGCGCTGAGATAAGCGACGGCGGAAAATAATCAATTCGATTACTCCCCACACTCAGGCTGAGAGCACAGCCTGTAGGCGTTACAAGATCCCGGGAGCTCTAGATAACCGTTTATCGGTGCGATGCAATCTGCCCTCAGCAGCACCAACGTTCGCGCAATCGCTTTAAGTATCGTTCACGTAAAGATCAGCGCGACGAAATTCCTGGCTTATCGCACAACGGTTGCGCACGATCGATCACCAGTGATTGCCGGTATCTAGATAAAATTATCTAAATAATCATCCAGATGAATAAATAGATCGTCTTTATCTTTATGTAGATGGAAGAAATACAAAATATATTCATCTTCATTTTAGATAGAAAAACATGTTATCTCATTTAAAAACTATCTGAAATGATTTATTATTATTACAACAATTCTAAATGTAAGAAACCATAAGTACGTCCCGACGAACCATCAACATCAACGCCGAAACAGGATATTCGTGGAAAGAAAATCCCTGCTGTGCATTTAGTGGGAACAAGTCGGTATAGTGTATGTATTATGAGCTGCTGCAATCGAGTCAAACCATCAATGCTGAATGCTACCGACGACTATTACTCAATTTGAATCGAACACTCAAAGAAAAACGCTCGCAATACGCTAAAAGATATGACAAAATTATTCTTCTCCTTGACAATGCTAGACCACATGTTGCAACATCAGTGAAAGAAATCTTGGAGGCACTTGGATGGGATGTCTTACCCCACCCATCCTATTCACCAGACGTTGCTCCTTTAGATTACCATTTGTTTCAGTCGATGTAGCATAGCTTTCTGAACAGCACTTCAGTTCTTTCGAAGATATCAATAAATGGCTCGATGACTGGATCGCTTCAAAAGAATTTGAATTTTTCTGCAGTGGAATCCACGTGTTACCCGAAAAGTGGGAAAAGGTTGTAGCTTCCGAAGGACAATACTTTGAATAAGATATAATCCTCTTTTGAAATAAACATGAGTTTTTGTAACAAAAAAACAGTGAGAGTTAATTCAAACACCTGATATTTGCAGATTACGCCACTCTGAACAAAAATGTTCTGTATTATTTTGCAAATAACATGCAAATTGTTGAGTTATTAATTAAAGAAGCCTCTATACATGGCTATTTTCAATCCTTGATAACTCGAAATTTTGCGTGTCATTTGCAAAATGGTATAGAACTTTTCTGCTCAATTTCATCCGTTCTACTTGCACACCACGGGAACCAAGATTAGTTTGGGACACTCTGTATATTACACTTCTAAGATATATTTTCAAAAAAGTTGATATAACATTAAACTTATCACAGATAAGTAAAATCGGATACACAAATAAGATAAAATAGAATTTTACCTTATAAACGATAAGTAAAATCGGATCACAAATAAGATAAAATAGGATCCCAAGCAGCACGTAAACGTTCGAGGAACGTTTGCTTTACGTTCACTTGGTTTGGATATATTCAAACAAACGTTCGAAGAACATACATTTTAGAACCTTTAATATATATCTTACATAGCAAAAGTGTCACAATTATGCTGCTCTGTTACAATTCCATTTTTTAATTAAAATATATATACATCTTGAAGTTTGATTATGTCTATTTATAACAAACTATTTAAAAAATATATGAATTGCTAAAGTTTTAGTAAATAGAATTGCTAGAATTTTAGTAAATAATCGCGCTGTAGGGTCACAATAGCACGGGTTGCGATTGGCCTCGTATGAAGAATGTCTTAGGCTATCGATTTTTAACGCGCGCGCCCGTTACGTGTCCATCATAACATAATGGTCGAGAATGGCCTGTTTCTCATCGACGTTTCACCCTCTCATCGGCGCTTATTTACGCGGTACTTAATAGACAATTAAGGCAACTAAGGCGACCGAGCAAATTGTTTCGATCGACTATCGCTTCCGATGACGTCCGAGATCGCGGATGATTGCCTCGTTTGCACCGGAGTTATTCGATTATTTTTCCCCGGTCCTGTCCGGCCGATTACTCGACGAATTGGGGAAATCTCATGAAAAAACATAGAAGGACGCGAGAGATCGAAGGTAAAACAGTATTAAGTCCTGTGATTGCTTTTGCCTTCGATCATGGCCGAAAAATCGTGTATAGCGAACGAAGTGATGCGTTTCTATCCGGCAATGTTCCGGCAACTGACATATCAAAGAAGGCTCGGACATTTACTAACCATTTGTGCAAAAGAAAAAAGACAATGTGCTAATTAATGGCACAAATAATGGGATGTATCACCAAATTACTCGAAAAGGAATAAATTCGCATGAAAAATTAAGTTGAATACAGTACAGTACAGCTAAAAAGAACAGACTAAAGGAGACGAAACCGAAATTTGTTTGTTGTTTCGTTGAAATCTGATGTCCAATCCCTAATCTGATACGGGCTTAACGCATAAGTCCATATTATTTCATTTATTTTACCAAAAGTGAGTCCAAAATATGGACCATAACATCATTTTAGATCATTTTTAGATGAGGTAACGTGTCGTTTTTATCTAAGATGAAAGTGAATATATTTTCTACCATCTGGATAAAGATGATCTCTTTATTCATCTGGATGATTGTTTAGATAATTTTATCCAGATACCCGGCACACACTGCCTGCACGCTCCAGATTTAATTTCGCAGAAACTATGGTCTACAGGTGGTCTGTGCATATGCGCTGGGACTGAAGGCGAGAAAAATACAACGAGAAATGAACAGCAGGAAGAGAGGGAAAACTTCCAGCTTCGTTGCTACTAAAAAAGAAATAGAGATAGTTAAATAAATAAGAGGGGTGAGAAGGAGGGGTGGGGGGAGGGGGGGAGGTGAGGTTGCAACGGAGCGAGAAGAGAAAACGATAGGCGGGATGATGCGAGAACTGTGCCACTATGTGGAGAGCAACTGTACGCGCAGTAAGATCCACTTGGGGATAGGTCAATCAATGACCTATTTAAGGCTTCAGGTCTTCAGGCCAGTTTCCCTCGCAATCGTGTTTGCCGTACTAGATCAAGGGTGTGCACAGTCTAATGAATACAACAAAATAGAGACGTTACATAGAGAAAAGTGTTTCTTTAAATTCAATATTTCTATTTATTTCACAAAAATTTCTTTCATAGAAACAACATATACGAAATATTACTTATTTGAGTAAAAATTTTGTCTCATTCAAGAAAACTATTATTTAACAGAAAAAACGTTATTATTTGAAATAATATCTTTTAAGCAAATAAAATCTTATTTGGTCACAATGAATATGTAAAATGAAACAAATAATTCCTTTATAAGAAAATTATCTTTCGTTTCAAACAAATTTTTTATTCAAGACAAAGATACACATTCGTTGAAAAGCCTAACAATCGTATTTATTGATCGAAACATTACTTTCTTCGGAGCATGCCGATGATGAGATTCGTTTAGATGCAATAATTAAATCTGAGGAAATCTTTTTCTCAGTGTACGTTTGAGAAATGGAGCGGAAGTGTGGAACGTGAGGCATCGAGCGTTTCTTAATTAAAGTTACCCCACAAAGACAGGGCAATTGAACGTAGAAGTGTCGGACTCTCGAGGAATCTTCGATCGTTAGGATCGTCGTATAAAGAGAACGCGATTAATTACATTTCAGAAGTATCGTTCAACAATCGAATCTAAGAATCGATCCACATGAATAATATAATTCTGCTTGACAAAAGCAGACTTTTTCGAAAAGGAACGTTCTGTCTCTTTCGAAATAATAAAATTCCTCTCGAAGTATCTCTGCTCCCTTATTCTCATTTTGAAGAAAATGAAGGACAAATAGATCGCAACACATGTAAAATCGAACGTTAATTCTTGATTATAGCGCGACTTGGATCTAAATTATCACGGTTACTCGATCGAATATCAAGGAAAACGCTTAAACGATTCCTAGTTTAGCATCCTTATTGAGGGCTCTATAATTTTTTTCATGTTGTCTGCTTTATGTTATCACAAGAGGATCACAAGACGAATTATATTGAATGTGTGCGAATAGATTTCTCAAGGCACACACACGTATATCTCTATATCCCAATGTATTTTAAAGGCAAAACTTCGGCACGTTTCTGTGTCAATTTGCACGACTAAGTAAGCGAGTCTCGATATTGCACTATATATCTGACCTCATCTGATAACCCACCACACATTGGCAACTTAAGAAAATCAACAAAGCCTGACAGCGATATTATGACAATATGCTAACGCACGTGCAATATACGTATGTTGGATACGTGTGTGTGTATTATATAGCCAGAAGAATATAAAATTAATTCCTAAGAGAGAGAGAGAAGAAGGAAGGAGTCCGCTTATATCAGCTTACCCCACCATGAAGAGTAAATTCGCTCGCGAAGTGTATACACAAAGATGCAATCGATATCCATCTGGAAAAGCAATCGTAGAAACTCAACACCCGCCAATGATTGCTTTTAATGTCCCACGGAGAATCTTCCAATTTCATAAGATATATAAATAATCGAAAGAAAGATCTTCACAAAGAGGAAGATACGGAGAAATTTTCTCATCGTCGAGACACACTCTTGCTAAACTCTGATAAAAACGTCTGAGACGTGTATTCTAATCTTTAAGGCGTTCCTCGCGTTTCTCACGTTTCGCGTCGTTAAAACGCCTTAATTGCGCGGGCATTCCGCTGATATCTGACAAAGACGTTTCAATCTCTCCGAGACGATTATACGAGCGTAGATTGAAAAGTTTCCGACCTGACCGAGGAAGAGTAAGAGTTAATTGAAATTTCAATACTTGTTCGATAGATGACACTGAAAGAAACACAAAGAACTAAGTTTGATGTCACTCTAGCGATTAGTTTGTTTCTGACAGCCTTTTGTGCGATAGTTTGTCAACAATGGAAAAATTGGAGTATCACGCCGTGATAAAACTCTTTCATTTGAAAAGGAAAATTCCTACGGAAATTACAACTAAATTAGATTCAGTGCATGGAGATGCTGCTCCTTCATTTGCGACCGTGAAAACTCGGGCTGCTGAGTTCACACGTGGCAGAACGAGCATTTTTCGACGAGGAACGCTCTGAGCGGCCAAAAACCGCACCAATGGATGAAATGATCGATTATGTTCACCGAATCGTGATGGACGATCGTCGATTAATTTTGAGAGATATAGCAGAGACTGCCGGTATCTGATACGAACGGACGCACAACATTTTACATGAGGAATTAAGCATGAGAAAGCTGAGCGCGTGTTGCCGCATTTGCTCACACAGTTGATCAAAAATGAGATCGGTTGGACATTTCACGATCGTGTCTCAAGCGTTTTAAGTGCAATAAAAGGGATTTTCTAAGGCGTTTTATTATTATGGGCGAAACTTGACTGTCTCACTACACTTTGGGAAGAGATTGTCGTCAGACACCGAAGCGATAAGTGCCTATTTTTCGAGTTTGGACAAAAATTATTATACCGAGAAAATGAAAGGTCTGGAAAAACGTTGGACCAAATGTATTGAGTTGAAGGGAGACTATGTTGAAAAATAAATTTCATTTGGCTCAGAAAAATATTTCTTTCTCTGTCAGGTCGGAAACTTTTCAATCTATCCGTCGAGAGAGCCATCCGATCTGTTTTTTCAGACACCTAAAAGTCTCCTATCGGATCTTTGTGTGTCGATTGGAATAATAGCAGATTGCAGGCATGTAGGTCAAAGTCCTTCGACACATACCGCGGCGAAAAGTAGCAAAAGGATATGGATTAGTGATCAGCGCGAGACACCAGTTGCGCGGCCGTGTAGTCTGCTCGAGATACCTTAGCGCGATCGGAACGAAACCTGGATAAGGCAACCCCTCGCCCTCCTCCTCTTCCTCCTCATCCTCGTCGTCGTCTTCGTCGTCCTCGTCGTCCTCCTCCACGACCGCTTGCCTGTCCACGGCTTCACCGGGTCCTTCGTCCTCGTCCTCATCGTCCTCGAGGTCACTGAGTTCCGCCACGTCGCTGTCAGAGCTCTGCTCTCCTCCGGTACCGCCCGCTTTCGATGCGGAACGATACCGATATCCTTGCGGATAATGTAGCGACATTCTCAACGCTCTCTCTCCTCGTAGCCTACCTCTTCTTCTCTTCTGCGGAGACCCCCTCGCTCAACAACGGTCTTCTCTCTCGGCTATTCCCGCGGCTGCGTAAGGCTCGATGACGACGACGATAGCGCGCGGGAAATGATTGTCATCGCACCGATAAGAGTCCCGATGTACGCTCCTCGCCAGCTACGTTCGCGATCACTCCCGGACGTTACTACTCGCAACGGTGAAGCCGAGTGAGGATGGTTTGTGTGAGGAGCGCAGCATCGTCGAAAGACTCCCTGTCCTCCGCGGACTTCAGCAAGCCCGGTGCTCCAGGCCGCGCGTTCCAGACCTGCAACGTCGGCCGAACGAGCGTACGCTCCACGCCGATCGCATCTTATGCTGAAGAAGAGAAGTATCCTTGTCGTGAGCCTCTTTAGACACCCTTGTGCCACCGATATGTGTTGCTCCTCTCACCTGCACTTCCCTCACCTGAGCAGCCTCAGGCGTATCGAACTGCTTCCGGAGGGAAATACTAATTCTGGATAGGATGTGCTTTCCAGGGATCCTCCGCCTCACGAGGGAAACACATGGAAAGAAAGAGGGAGAGAGAGAGAGAGAGAGAGAGAAGGGGAAGGGTTTCTTTGCGGGACGAGCAAATCCAGGGTTCTCCGTGGAACGACCAAATCCAGGAATGGAAGAGAAGGAAAGAGGAAAGCGGGTAATCGTCGAAGCAAGGACGAGCCGTCTCTCACCGAGTGCGATTCCTCCGCTCACACTTGCCTGAGTCGTGGCACTACTTTTACCGGAGGTAAGCAGTCGTATCGACCGCGACGTCGGTCACGCGGCTACTATCGGCAAGCGGGCAGTTGGAACGTCATGAACCTTCTTGAACGGTACGTACGCGCACTATCGTGCACGACGCTGGTGTCCAGCGCAGCGTCGACCGGTGACTGAGAAAAACGTCGAACATCCTCGTCGGCGAGTGGCGGGCGAACGCATGCGCGACCCCCTCGGGTGCTGGTGGTGGTGTGTGTGTGCCTCTTGCTTCGTTCGCATTTCGCTTCCCCGCAACCTCCAATGTCTCCTCCCCCGAAAAAATCCGGTGATCTTCTCACTCTTTTTCCTGCCTCTTCCTACCGAACGCGTACATCGTCTCTTCCATTCTATCTGTCTTCTCCGTGGTCTGGTTCCCCCGTTCCACTCGACGCGCTCTCGGACAGAAGGGTGACTCAGGGCCGAAGCGCGTCCTTGAGATACTCTTCGTTTTCACTTCCAGAGCGCAAAGTTTAACTGAAACTTTTTCATATCCCGTCACCGCCATCGCTCGTGGATTTCAAGCGCGGAACTTCGAATCGACGGCGCCCTGGCTTGATTAATTATCCACATAGCGCGTAATATCACAGTAATATTGCAATATCACAGTAATATTACTGATACATTACAGATATGTATCTATCTATCTATATATCTATATATTTATTTATATATATATATATATATATATTGTCAAATAAATACCGGGAATTGTTCATTTCAAAAGCTCGCGTAAAAAGCATAAAAACAAATTTCTTTCTGTAATTTGGTACCAATGTACCTAATTGTCACGTAGAGTTTTGGCGCCAACCAGTTTATTTACAGTTGTCGGTTTTGTTAACCTCAAGTGTACTCTGCGATTTTTAAAATGGACAAAAATATCGAATAAAGAGGTTGGCTTAAATTTTGTGTTGCCAACGAAATTTCTTGTGCTGAGTCGTTGAAAATGCTGGAGAAGGCCTAGTGGAGTGAGTCTGCTTTATCGAAAACACGAGTATACGAGTACAAAGTATAGTGATGGAAAATCGTCATTCAAGCTTAAGAGAGATGGTTCAGGATCTGGACATGTGTCCGTTCGCACCATTTTAGTTCATGTTTTGGGCATGAGACGCGTCGCGACACGGCTTGTTCCGAAAGAATCGTTCTACACATAGACCCTTGTACGCGAATTTTTGGCAAATTAATTTTGCACACCTAATAATCGATACATGAAAGAAAAGGAAAGAAGAAAGGTAGCTGATGCTTTGCACATTTTTTTGTATAGTTGCGACTTTATTCAGAACAAGGATAAATGACATTTCAATAATATTCAACAACAGCTGGTTCCGCGGTCACCTTCAATCAGGCCGATATCAAAGAACACACATCCTCTTGTTCGGTCGCGACGCGCCGACTATCTATTCGTTCAAGTTACATCGAAGACGCAAAGACGATGCTCTACGGTGGTGGTGACGGAGATGGGATCCCCCTCCCCCCCCTGTACCAATTCATCGACTAACGTTGTATTATTTAACAGTGGTATATCCTAGAACGAATGCGCGATCAGCGCAGTCGAGATACATTGCTGGATAAGCGTGGTGTGATCAGCCCTCTCGGCGTATCGCCTGACGAACGTACGCAAAACCCGAGCCATTCACAAAGCGGAGAATCCTCTGTCGTCCAACAGAGAAGCGAGTTCACTGGGACTCGTAATCGGCGGGGAACACGTGTGATGCCGGCAGACGAAAACCGTGGCGCGGCCGTTCTGCGGCTTCATCTTGCCGGCAATCGCGTTCCTGCGGAGAAGCATGCTGTCCTGCTGCTCGTGATCGACCAGCAAAAGCACCATGCCGGCTATCAGACGTTCACGGATCACGCTCAACATCTCTTCCGTATCCTCGGCATTCTGTTTGCCCAGCACGTAAATCTAAAAGAGGTTGGTTCGAGAGAGAAAACTTCAAAGACTCCGATTTGGAGATAGTGTGCGCTCACAGGCTTGAACCCGTGCAAGCAGTGGCGTAGCTAGAAAACAGTTTCGGAAGGTGCTGTAAAAGTGGGCGACTAAAAAAAATGAAATTTGGAAATTCTTAAAAGTTTTTATCTTCTTTCATTCATCGATCCAATTTCATCATCCGATTATTTCATTTTAATAGTAAAATAACATTTATTTCATTAATTAAATTAATTTTTTTGAGCGTAATTTTATTCCGTATGCTCCTCTCTCGCTCGCTCGCTCATTAGAAAAAAAATTATTGAGAATTTCATCTACCCCTTCCCTGGCTACATCACTGCGTGCACGCACTAATAAGAGGCGGAAAGTGTACGCACCTGCGTCGTGTAGTGATAATCGAGCAACGCCAGAGTCATTTGCGGAAACATAACCGGCATCTCCGTGAGCCCTTTACCGAAGGCGCGCAAAAGCCGCGCAGCTTTTTCCTTAAGCTCACTGCAATCCAAGAAGACCGCCAACCGTAGCAGATTGGAACAAGCAATCGAATTGCTAGACGGCTCCGCGCCATCATGAGCTACAATAGAGTACGTTGGAAATTTCACAACAATATCGGAAACGTTTAACTGAATGCCGGTAACGTAGTCTTATGTCATCTCAAAATGTTTAGCCAAGACTTTTGAAAATTGCATGCAGTGCTCAGCTCAAGGTTTCGCTTCAAAACCGTCGACTGCGAATGTGTTAACATATTTCCTAACTTAATATATTCCTCAAGTATTTACTCATATTCTGATCTTTCAATATGTAATATATAAAATCAAGACACGAAGTAACAACCGAATTAATGAAATATGTAACAGACGACACTGCGAATATTTCGGATCCCCCACGATCTCAAAGGCAGAATGAACAGTTCCTTGCTCGTTTTTATTTATCCAAAACGCGCAGCCAGCGCCATGTAAGTATCAAAGTGTCCGATGTTCGATTAGCGAAATAAAATTATCGCAAATTCAGCCGTCGGCACGTACCGTCTTTCATTCGTAGAATCATCTGTGAGTCCTCGACCGTCGAAAAGTAACCGCCGTCCTGCGAGTCCCAAAACAGTTGATCCTGTATATCTTGCAGCTGCTCGGCGAACTCGAGCCAATGTAAATCGAAGCTGGCCTGGTATAAGTCGAGCAATCCCTTCACGACGAATGCGTAGTCGTCGTGAAAGCCGTGTATCGGCACACTCCTGCCACAGTCATCATCATCATCATCATAAACATCCGCATAGCACGTAATATCACAGTAATATTGCAATATCGCAATAATATTATATATTACTGTACAATATTACAATAATATTATTGATACAATACGTGTATATATGTAACATTGAAATATTGCAGTAACATTGTTGCAATATGTCACATTCCAAATAGCCAAGTGACTTCAAATGACATTTTAATTATGTCTTATTGACATTAGAAATGTTATATCGAGCAAATTATCTTCCGAAATTTAAATAAAGACATTGAAACGAAGTAATATAACATATATATTTAAATATTATTTAATAAAAAGATTTTCTAAATGTTTTCAAGCAAACGAAATTCTAAAAAATATTTGAATCACTCAATATGATTTGTTGGTTTTCATGATAATTTGATATCATATTAGTTAAGTCAATCTCCCCTTTCTCTCTTTCTCTTTAGTTTAATGCGACGCTTCATCTTAAAAGGGATGAAAACAATTCACTAATATATATTAGATTCATATCCATCGCATGTCAACTGCTAATGCATTGCTTTTAATATCTGTTAATAAATATGTTATTATATGTTTGTGAACACCATAAAGATATATTATATAAGCATAAACTATAAAGATATCGTCAGTAGAATCAGTGGTTGCTGTCCGATCGTCGAAGTTCAGCAACGGCGAAGGTTAATAGTTGGATGGATGTTGACCTCCGGTCAAAGTGGAAACCACGGCGCAAATATGTAAAATGACTTTTTTTCTCTCGTATAAGTAATAAAACTACTAAAAAACAATAATTCATCACTGGTCAATTTATCACAGCTACTAGTACTTTTTTGTAAGGGAATATAATTGTGAAATGTCACTGTAACATCACTGTGATTCGTTTTAGCAAACATTTTAATATTACTATGTAATATCTCAGCAATATATTGTAGCAATATTTTCGCTATATTACATTGTAATACATGCAATAGAAATATGATGTTGCCATGCTATATGGGCATCAAACTACGTAGCGTTTATCGCGTTACAGAAACACTTAAAGACGGTGTATCCTTACGTCTGAATAATTCTGTCGTCCTCCCCGCGGTAGCAACTGCGAAGCAGCACGCCATTATTTTTATCGAATAGGTACCGCTCTATAAACTTGGCAACGTCCGTCGCTAATTCCACGTACTTCGCGCTTCGCACGGCTGTTCCTGCACGCGCGAACCCACTCATCATGAGGCCTGCGAATAAATTCGGAAGAAAGCTATGTTGAATTTTTCGAGAACGTGCAGGACGAAACTATAAAAGACAAACGCGAAAACAATGATGACATCGACGTCATCGTGGCGCCGTCGCTGATCAGATCATGACGCGTTACCGTTCCACGCTGTGACCATCTTGTCGTCCAAGTGGGGTCGTGGTCTGTTCGCTCTCTCCTTGAACAGAATCCGGCAGGCCTGCTTGATATGAACTCTCGTATCCTCCAGACTAATATCGAAGTGCTCCGCGGTTTTCTCCACTCCCTCATACGCGATAAACACATTTTTACCTGTGAGTTCGCCGTGAGGATCCTATGTCATGAGATGTTTCCGTCTAGAGATTTTATTTTATCCTGTACATCCTGTTTCTCCAGAATCGCAATATATACCTGAGCCTTTCGCACGTTTCCCTCCTTTTTCACATTGAAGTGGTAGCAGATCAGATCGAAAAGTCGTACGTTACTGTTGCCAGATATTTTTTTGTCCAAAAGGCTCTTGATCTCGTCGTATGTCCAGACATAAAACGCGCCCTCCCGTTTCGCCGAAGCCTGCGGCTCCGGCAGCGAATCCGCATCCTCCGCGCTGTAGAAACCACCTTCCTGAATAACGTCAACGCTCTGTGAGTGTGCCATGTCAAACCTACGTGCTTGTCTTGCTGTTATACATAGATCTTTTTTTATATAAGATAGAACCGTTTATTTAGCTGAAATGTTCGTGTACCAGTTTGGAAAATATTAGGTGTACAAATTAATTCGGTGCCTTTGCATTTGATTTTAAAACAGTCGACGAAATTCGAAAAAGCATCGATGACTTTATCGAGTCAAAACTGCCAAGTTTTTCCCGCGAGGGCGTTCATCAGTCGCCCGATAGATGAATGGAGTAAAGTCATAGAAAATAATGGAAATTATTTTGAACATTAAACTTGTACAATAAACTTTGAATTTCATGAAAGAAGGGCACCGAATTAATTCGTACCTAATAAGAGAAAAAGTGCAAATAATACCTTATGCCGCAGGTCGCGCTCGACGTACGTCGCGATATCGTCCACGATATCGGAATAAAACGTGTTCTTCGTGATGATATAAGCGTCAGCGTAAGCCTGCATTATTTGCGCCTGATCGTAGAGCATTTTCTCAAAGTGAGGCACGTGCCACTCGCCGTCCACGGAATACCTCGAAAATCCCTTGAACAATCGAATAATCCTTCAAGCAATACGATTCGATTCGCAGGATTATAATAATCGGGAACTCGAGCCTCACTTGTCCCACGTGATCATGAATCCCACCGTGAGCCATCTTTGTCAGAGTGTGCAGGGACATCTCCAAACACTCCTTACGCAACTCGGACGAAGTGCTCAGGGCGTATATGTTGAAGAGAAAGTTAAAATTGACCGGCTCGGGGAACTTTGGCGCTTTCATCCTGAACTGACTACCGAATCCGCCAAATTTTGGCTCGTATCCGGTCGCCAGAAGGTGAACGCACAATAAGCCGCATTCCGCCGTAGGAAATCCATCGTCTTCCTGCGGTAGAAAAATGTATGCGAATAAAACACGATATTTCATGATCCTAGAAATTATCAGGACTTTTTACACACGCAATATTTTACTCACCCTCAGACCTTGTCTGCACTCGGCGATATCCTTCAGACGACCTACTATGTTAGCGCCCGACTTGATTATGTCGTTCTTCTGCTGTGCCCACTACCGTAAAAGAAAGTATCATTGACCCAGGCCCGACGAAGGTGAGATCCGTATGATTACGTATAATGGATTAAAACGTGGATGTGAATCGTGTATTAAATGAGGAAGTGAGCGTCTTATATCTCGAGATGTGTGCATATTTTTTGCACGTCTACCTTTTTCGCGACTTCTAGCAGAAGCGATTTGAATCCGATAAGACCGTATCTGTCATCCGGTGGGAAGTATGTCCCACCTGTCACTGGTGTCAAATTCGGTGCCAGAAAAACGCTCATCGGCCAACCACCGTGACCCGATTTTGCCTAAGTTAAGTATATATAAAATAAATTATATATATATACACCGATGGCTATTGAAATTGCAACACCAAGAATTAAAAACAATAATATAATAATATTTGAAGATTTTTTTTATTTGGCTTAAAGAGAGATTACAAAACGATTAAAATTTAATTATTTTCAGACTCATAGATTCCTAAAAAAATTTAGATAAACAGATTAAGGATAGGTAAATTATAATATACAAAATATATATTATAAGATGTATAAAAATAAGGCGTAATAGTATTTGTAATCAGTTACAAAACGCTGTAACTCAGTGAAAAATGATCCAATTTCAAGAAAGGAAAACCCACATTATATTCGTCTCATTGTCAACTAAACTTTTACTTCGAGAAAAAATATCGACTTTCGTTTAAAAAAATGGCCGCCATGATGAAATCTCGAAAGTGGCGTCATCTACAATTAAATTGATAATGTCATCATCTTTCTCCCTCGAAGCCATAAAACTTTTTTCCGGAACATTTTTTGAAAAACTTCTCTTTTTAGAAATATTCGCGCGTATTGAATAAAATGGTCTATCCTGTATACAATGTTCATCCCTAATTTATTATATATATATTCTTATTATACACATATATATTATTATGATAAATAGCTATTTCTTGTGAGAACTTGAGTCAAAAAATTCTAAGCTATTTTCTTCTGTAAGACTCGATAAAACAATAATTATTAAATATTCAGTGAACGGAACGTCAAAAATCGACGTATAAAAGACAACCTTAAGATATCTCGAGATATTAAGAAACGTCTTTAAGACTTTTCTTAAGGAACTCCGAAAGATAACTTAAAGTTGTCTTACACGCCAATTTTGGACATTCTGCTCACCGGGTAAACTAGCCAATGCCGTCGTTTGAATGGGTATAAAAATTCTTCACATTATTACACATCTGAAACCATCGACGTACATGAATACCTAAAAGGAGGATCTTTTCTTCATTCTATGAAGAAAAGATCTAATTAAGTATCGGCGCTTCGAAGAAGGCTTTTCGGATATATTCGATTCCCCTAGTTATTCGACACTTTGTGTTAGCTCGTGTTAGAACCGTGACGTTCAGTTCACAACGAGAACTGAAATAGCATTTCTTTGTTATTTTAATTGAATAAAAAAAACGTGATTATATTATACTCAAGGTCTGTTTTCTATTGCTGTACTGGTTGCACCAGCCTGCACTAGTTCTCTTTTCCTCTCTTTCCTATCAGATCTTGAGAAAACAGACATGATGTAATTTACGCTGAATAATACCAACCTGAACGAACGTCATGTATATCCTGTCAATATCGGGCCTTTCCTCTCTGTCCACTTTGATATTAACGAAATTATTATTCATGATGCGTGCGATATCCTCATTCTCGAATGATTCTTTTTCCATTACGTGGCACCAGTGGCACGTGGAGTAGCCGACCGACAAGAAGATCATCTTATCTTCCTTCTTGGCCCGCTCCAGAGCTTCGTCGCCCCAGGGATACCATTTCACGGGATTGGCCGCGTGTTGCAGCAGATACGGCGACTTCTCCAAACTTAAGCGATTCAGTTTCTTCGCGCCGGAATGGCCGACGTTTTTGCCGCTTTTGGACGTTGACGCCATTCTCACGGTCAACGACAGATAAAACAGTGAATTGTAACTCGATCTATTTCAAATACACTTATTAATGGATGGATTTCGAACTGTTTTCCGACGAATTTGAAATCAATGTTTCTTAAGAAAAAAAAAAACGAAAGGACAGAAGGAAGGATAAAAGTACACTCGAAATTTTATGGAATATGATTGGAGTATGATTTCACTCGAAAAGAGCAAAAATTCGTTTTTGAAACAATATTGAAGATGCTGCCGCTCGAAATTGCAAGGTTAAAAATATTTCACTTGAAGTTAAAGTCGAACCCATACAGCACCGAAATCTTTCAGGGATATTTCAGAAGTGTTTCGTATGAAAAAGTGAAACATCCCAGGATCGTTTCAAAATGTTTCTCAGACCCCCTCTGAGACGGTTTTGGGATAGCAAAATGTCCGCGATTCTTGCACTTAAAACTTTCCTGAAGATGTGCTGAAAGATCACTGAAATATATCTTTCTGAATGTATGTTGAAAACTTCCTGGAATAATTACTTATATGCACAGTTATGTTTATTTATTCACGAATTATGCATTAATATTGTTTACACACTTCAGTAACGTATATTATGGAAAATATAACAGTCAAGTAAAATTATTAAAAAAATTTAATAACATTTGTACAATAAAAAAAAATATTTGTTAATCATTATGAATAAATTGAAAACATTGTTGAATAAAAGAGAGATAGTCCTGACTGCTTGATAACATCGTGGAAGTTGTTTCGTACATTTTTTTTCGCATCTTTGCATGAAGTCGATCTCGAACAGCGGCCAGCCGGTATCAATTATCCATTTCTAGTACGCGGTCGTCCTTTACTTAACTTCGATGATCAGAGGGCAAGTAGTAAGTCCAACAGGTGTGACGATATCCTTCCAACTTACGCTTATGTAATGCATACTTGTATGATTCCTTGTATATATTTCTTATATTGACTGAAGTGCGTTCCTATGCTATATAGGATATTCTAAGATAATCGCATGCAAGAAACGAAAAATTTATTGCACGTAAAAGATTTCAGAAACAGACAGTTCAACTGAAGAAAAATTTTTAAGTTCATCATATGTAAAAGGTTTTCTGAAACAGTTCAATTGAAAGGTTCGCAAAATTATTTCACATTAAATGTTTCGAAGACAAATCAACTGAAAGTTTTCAAATTTATCGCATGTGAAACATTTCAGAAATAGCTCAACTAAAATGCTTGCAAAATCATTTCATGTGAAACGTTTCAGAAATAACAACTGAGAATTTCGGAAAATTATCTTCATACGAAAGGTTTCGGAAACATTCCTGCTGCAACATTTCAAACGACATATTGCAGAATTCTTTCGGAAATGTTGCACATAAAATATGAAAGTTTGAAATGATTTTGAAACATTTCCGAAAGTTTTCTGCAACAATGGAGATGCAATATGGAAATATGATTCCGTATGATTAAATGTTTCTCATTGATTAAAGTAAATCTGTTTCTGTAAGACGATAAAATATATGAGATTCGTTCTTTAATTTCAAGTGAAAATATTCACCTAATGATTCGGAGTGGGGGGATTCACTTTGTACAAGAATCGCTCAAATTTGAGCGAATCAACCGTCGCTCTGCTTTTCGAGTGAAATTTCACTCTGAAAAATTTCGAGAGTACGGCACGGATGATTACCTGTTGGTGTGTCGCCCAGCAACGCGGAGGAGAATTCTTTCGATCGGAGAAAAATTCGCGTGATTATACGTGCCACACTGCTTCTTAGATAGTTTAGATATGTAACGAACAGTCGATAAGGAGCTGCATCTTCTCGAAATCATAACACACGTGGCAGAGCTGCCACCTTAGCATGTCCGCTCCTCGCCCGGAGATCAGCAAAATTGAATCTCTGAAAAAAAAAGTCTTCCATTCATTATTACATTTTGCATATTGCACTAACAAAATCCGCCATTCATCTTCTGACAACATCGAATTTTTGGAGAAGCTACTTCTACTTCTTCATTGGGAAAGCATATTTAGTGTTACTTGTAACGTTTTTCTTTTCAATAAACTCGCTTTGCTTGGAACTCATAATCTAAGCATATCATGATAGCCACTAACAGAGCGCCTCTTTACTCATAACCGTATAATATGCGGCTGTGAGTTCTTCGGATCTCTGCACTTTTAACGAAAGTAATTTAAAATTTTTGGCAATGAGAAAAATATATGTATAGATTTTCTGATGATTAATAAAGTTGTTTCATAACATGTGTTTCTCAAGGTAATTTTCCAAACAGCACACAATATCCCATTTACGTTTTGTAGACGTACTCAGGACATCAGGACGTCCTCGGGTCATCCTCAGAACATCCCTAAGAGACCTGTGTCATCTGGGTTATCGTGTGCTTTGAATTCACTATGAACTGTAATGAAAAATCCAAAAACAATAACGACGTCACTGACTCGCGCATATACGTTACATTAATTTTCGTGGCATGACAATTATTCCTGCGTTTTTTCAACACTTATATCATGCCATTATGTTTTTTCAACTAATCAATTCCCATAATAATTCGTCAGAAAATTACTGACCAGTGATTAATCGTTAGATCCCTCCTCTCCTCCAGCAATTACCAGTAATATTTTTCTGCAAAGGTATAATATTCTTAATGATAAACAAAAACTCGCCGCGTGTTTATATCTCCGAAAACCGAATTTGCTGATACTACGTTCTTACGGTTCACACTTGACAATAAAATCGTGAAATCTCCTGTTCTATCATCTGTAGCGAAACAAACGAGACACGTATCCAACGATACATTAAGATTGCATAATTCAAATTGGCACGATATCGCACGATGAGTCGACGACTGCACCTGATATTGAAGTAAATCTTGCTTTTACGAGACACTCGGTATATATATGTAAAGTAAAAAAATGGCGAATCTACGTTCTACAGAGCGGTTATCAGTCAACGAGTCGATGCTCTTTTCGGACGTAAATAGTCGTCACGATAAAAAAAAAATCATGCGCCAAAATCAACAATCGAATCAAATTTGTCAAATCTTTGCAGCAAAATTCGATAAAAGGTGCGTATCTACCAATAATAAAGCATACGTATACATACATAGAGAATTCGCAATGTTCGATCCGCTCTAGTCACTGATTTGATGCTCATTTTTGTCTACTCGTGACGTTAGATGTCGCTAGTGTAGTCGATACAATTGGTACAACGCCTGGAAAACAGAGGCCGATATTCATAGTCGAATCTTATACATAAAACCACCTTCGGATACCGGTACGACTCATTTCATTAGTTACGAAGTATCTGGAGATAAACTTGAGACAGTCTTGAACATCCGACTATGAATCTCGGCCAGATGGCTTCTGCCCACAAGCCACGGCCGCGCAGCGAAAGTTCGCATAGCCAATCAACGTGCCGTTTTTTCATGAGAACTAAAAGTTTATTGGCTGCCGCATCGCTTTTTGCCGCGCTGCGGAAGTTCGTGCGGTAGCCAATCAACATGCCGTTTTTCGGTAAGAAGCAAAAATTTATTGGCTACCGCACGGACTTCCGCCACGCGGCAAGCGTTCTGTGAGCAGAAGCTATAAGTGTCAATCCACAATATTTTAAGGCTTAAGGCTTAAAATACCTATTGTGGACCGACACTGAAATGGGGTCTACAATTAGAATTTAAACCATAAGATCGAAAAAATTGACCAATCATAATTAATTTTTCTTCTATAATTCGATTGTGATTGATCAATTTCTTAAGTCTTCTTTGTGTGAAAATAAGCATCGTGTACCGCTGGCTTTATACACTCAGCTGTGCTGTTTCACTCGCCGGTATCGCTGTATGATAGTCCGTCGTACTCTTGGTTGTACAGCCGATGCATGCACAGAAGAAAATCGAGCCTCCAATTTCCTAGTACTGTCGCAACTGTTACCAGTATTTATAGTCAGATCTTATATTTAATACCGTCTTAAGTTTATCTTCAGATGCTATACGACTCATTTCATTGGCTACAAAACGTCTGAAAATAAACTTGAGATGGTCTTAAATATAAGATCCGACTATGAATACCGGCCTGTATATAATTAAACTATGGCGCTTGTCCATCATACATAAATTTTACTCACTAGAAGTCACTTGAACTGACTTATTTATTAATTCCGTGTACGTGTATGCGGTTCTTTTACGTATTATTATTTAATAATTAATCGTGATAGTTAATAATATTGTGACAATAATTTCGTACAAATTAGATATACAGTGTATCTATATAACTAAAAGTCAGAGCGTTTAAACATATGACGGCACCCCTGCTATTTTCCCCACCGAAATCACGAAAACATACGAGCGAAGTGGAATCCAAGCGCGATCTCGCGAGAATTTTCTTCCGATAGTAAGGTGATATAACCTGCTCCTACCTTGCTCGTCACTGCCTACTGATAGCAAATTAAGCCAGGTAGATATTATACGTTCAATGGTGCGTACATACGTGTAATTACCGTTATCGATATTATGTCATATTTTCTTAAGAATTAACATAAACTTCAGCATTTTACGTTTTATTAATTTCCCGTAGGACTGTGCCAAAATCTATCATTTTAGTTAACACAGAGATACATCTAATTTGTGTGAAATTACTGTCACAATTATTGTTAACTGTCACGATTTAGGTTAATTATCAAGTAATAGCACGTAAGAGAACCGCATACGTGTACACGGAATTAATAAATTGGTATTTTATATTTAAACGTCATATTTTAAATGTTTTTAGCGTACACACTATCAGCATAACGTTCAAATCGCATTTCGGTGTTTAGATTAACGTTTATCATTTATTTTAATTGATACTGAAAGTATATAATAATCTTTTACAAGCTACATCATATAGATAATAGATTAAGAATCAATGATTTTCCTACTGTTATATATCTATTATTATTTTCGCTTTATTTTAACAGTGATCATGTTAATAACATATTTCGCCTACAATTGGAGGTATAGTAATGCACCAGAAGGTCAGAAGCCGCTCGAGAAGGTAATTGGGCTGAGCAAGTATGGCTTTGCCGCCGGCTTAGGTGTCGGCTTATACGATTGCACACTTTTATCCCAAGCCTATACATTCTGGCCGGCGGTGAACTGCGTGTCCTATTGGATGTTACCTTTCACTGCTATGTGCGCTACTTTCGCATCAGTAGCTTATATGACGACAAAGTTACGCGGCAAGGATGGCTACGCCAACTATGTTACAGCCTGTATGTAACGTACAGATAAAAAAGTTAACCCAACACTAGTGGAAGCAAAAAATCTTTTTTTTTTCTTACAGCATTAGCCACAACTGGAGTATTTTATCATTGGCAAAAGAATGGCAAACTTACATTTCCCTATGGTACGCTTTTGCTGATATTAGCCATGGTCAAGAAACACGGTGATCTGATAGGTTGGAACCCAATGCCCCTCAATATCTTTGAGACTGGACCGTCTCAACACACCACGATTCCCGTTGATTGGACGATCATCAAGGATCCCAGAGGACCCAAGCCCTGGGAGTGAAGATCTCTCCCGCACATACACGAGCGAGATTGTTAGCATTGACGTATGATAATAAAAATTAATCAGTAGTATAATACAAAAGATTTGTAAAAGTACGATGTAACGAAAGGATACAAGAGGAGTATCTTTGCTTTCATCGTGTATATATTTATTTAGATTCTTAGTACAGAAAAGGAAAATTCAGAACAGATTATGGAAGGAAACGATGGCTGTGTCATGTTAATGAGGAGATTACGTCAACGTCTCACCCTTCGTGACCTGCCAAATAAGCACCATTACAGTAACTAATTGCAAACATTCGCTTTTAGTTAATAAATAAATACCATCATACCAACGAAATATTATATGTGTTGATAAGTTAATGATAATAATAATATCTCTCCTATATATTTAACACTAAAAATGTTAAATAGGATTTTCGAAAAAATATGTAATGCAAAGGAAGAAATATTTATTTGCTTACACGTTACGATAAAAATTATGCTTAATCTCAAAGAATGCAACCAGTAGAAATTGAAATAACTTTGTTTGAAATAAAATTATAAGAATTACAAATCAGTCATTTTGACCACTTTGGTAGTTTCAGTGTTAAATATGCGAGAAAATTCACCATCGTTTGATGTATCGATAATATTACAAGATACATGAGTTCTGTTATATTTAATCCTATTTTTAATATTACATTTTAATATTATATATATAATCACTTACGCATGCCTCAAGATACTCGATTCTACGTTCAAGAGTCGTCAGTTTTTCATTAAGAACCGCTATCCTCGACCTGCAAGACATATCTGGAAGGTTTTTTATAGCAATACGTTAAATTAAAACAATCATATCATCGAGAATAAGAATTCGATGAATTTCGACAAATTACCGAAGGAGTTGAGAAAATCCGTGATCTTTTTAATACTGCCGGTAATAACTTCTATGTACTCGCGATTAGCCCAATCCTGTTGAATCTGCTTTTGTATCGCTTCTCGATGTATGGCCGCCATTACTTGTACGTCACTAACACGGAGATATATATTATTTTCACGTATCCCTTTAATAAAATGTTGCGCAAAATGCTATGTAATATCGCGTGAAATATTTTCACAGTGTTATCACATTTTTTTGGAATGATAAGGTTAGTTCGGTTCAGTTTTATGGCCGGGGACAGTGAAGCAGGTATGCCAATCTTCGAGAGATAAAGTAACTGGATATGCAATGCTGGTAACATTATAATTTTATATTTTCACTTTCAGTTTCTTAAATTTCGATCTATAATAGAGTTTTAAGCTTTAAGCCTGAAGCGAGAAATTGATCAATCATAATTAATTATTCTTTTCATATTCAACTGTGATTGGTCAATTTCTTAAGGCTTAGAGCTTAAATTCTCACTGTAGACCCCGCTTTAAGTCCGTATCAGACTATGTATTGAAGATTGAGATTGAATTGAAATTTGACCAATCAGTGCAAAGTTCACTAAATTTCACTAAATTTGAATTCATATAACTTTGTACCGATTGGCGAAATTTAATTTAATCTCAATCCCCAATCCATAGTCTGATACGGGCTTTAGTCCTACTCTACAATAAGTACTTTAAGTGTTAAGAAATTCAACAATCACAGTTAATTATTCCTTTCACACTCGACTGTGATTGGTTAATTTCTTAAAGCTTAAAATACCTATTGTAGATCCGACACAAACAGCTGATGTCTAGTAGTTACCATACGCGACCATGCCATGTCTATGGTCACTAAATTTTCATATGCGAAGGCTTTGATATCGTTGACATTGCAATAATAGGCATGGAAAACTACAGCGTAAAGTTGGATCCGGAGACTCAGCTGTGCTGCACGCTGTATATGTTTACCGATGTCACGAATATCGCCGAGATACGCGAGAAAGTCGTGAGTCGTTCGCTTCGTTGTTGCGCGGCGAAGGCTTCTCTCATGGTGGACGCTCTGCAAGCGGTGGTGGCTGCCAATAAAGCCACCCTGAACGCCGAGCGAAATTGTCTGACGACCAAAGATGTGTACACGGAGATACTGTTTTGCCTGTCGATGTCCAAGAACATATCGCGCTCTTTGCAAGAGTTCGGTGTCAGCGACAGTGACAAGAATATCGTAGTGATAATCGTGCACAAGCTCGGCGAGGAGCAGACTGTATCGGCGGACGTTTTGAAGAACGTCAAAGGTGAGCGAGTAATCGTTTCCAGGATGCGAGAGTTCGCCGATGTAAATCTTGTGAAGAGAATCTACAAAGTCGACGAGGACGAACTGTGCGTTTCTGATCTGACCGATGCCGTTGTCTCGAGGATCGCTTGCAAGGATTTCATGTTAGTGAAATAAAGACTGAGAAATAAAAGAAAATATCTTTAATAAATAATTAATTAAATAAAAAAAAAAAAATATATATATATATTCAAGGCCATAATTGTTATTGAGATGAGAAATGTTTGATACATGTGTAATTTAAGTGCATATAGAATGTATTTATATGACCAATAAGCAATTTATATACTTACATTTCCCTCTTATCGATTAATTATCATATTTTCGTTTATGATGTTTGTTTTTCTCTCTCTCTCTCTCTCTTTCTCTTGACCTTTCCTACATATTGTAATATACATATGTTCTATACATATTGAATAATAATAGTTAACTGATACTTAAGAAAAATATTGATACATTGTGCATACAAGATCTACAGTTATAGACTGCCCAATGTTAAAACATTGACAAATGTATGCGACCGAAGTGCTCTGATCAAATTCTTGAACCTGTATTAAAACATATCTCTCATCATCTCCTCATCATACTCGTCAAGATCATCTCTGCGAACATAAAATGTACAATAAATTTTCGATTTTTTTTAGAATCTAATTCAATTCACACGTAAGAACTTCATTATATCTCACTAACAGGATTAACATCTAGACATCAGCTGGTTGAAACGTTGCAAGCTGGCTATGAGTAAAAAAATTAGGTTAGGGGACAAAGCTGAGCGAACATGGGCGCGAGGTGGGGGCGGGAAAGGACGAATATATGTCAATCGGGAAGTACAGTTTTGTCTTGTTTTTATTCACTCATAAATAAGGCCAAAGATGCGTAGAAAACAATCGTTATGTCCGCAGGGACAGTACGCGTCAGATCCTGCGGAAGCAAAGTAGTGGATTTAAAGAGACAGTACCCCTCCTTTTTTTTTTCTTTTTATAAACGCACGCGTCGGATTTGTCGTTCGTTGACACACACTCTTTCGACATACCACAGTTCGTATATTACGAATACCGTATATACCTTGGCAAGTTGCACATCTCGCAGACCGCTAAGTCCGCGGCATTGAGGAAGGTGCAGTGAGAACAGGTCCAGAGTGCCTGAGGTCGATCGGTAATAGGCGAATTCGCCGCCATCGGTTCTGTACCGATGCCTATTCCTCCCGCACTGCCTCCCGCGTTGCCCTCCGCAGCCGCGGAGGACGACGTTCTCGGGTTACCGCCGAAGGACACCTGCGGTGAGCGCGATGTGCCGGAGGAGGACGCGGATATGAGTTGCTCCACCGTTGCCCAATGTTCTGACTGCGCCCACTCTATCGCTTTTTGTTTGTCTTTGTTACGAATAGCTTCAAGTAAAGTCAGCATATAGTCCTGTGGGACAAACAGACAGAGAGAGAGAGAGAATATGTAATATAATATTATTCCGATGCAGAACTATTATAAATAGGATATTTATCGAAGATTGATAGTGTCATTCTGTGATATATCACAAACGATAATAATAAGACTGGAATAACTGATAAGTGATAATAGTAATTAACCCTTTGCGTTATAGCGGGACACACGTCGTCCCACCAATATTTCCTTTATTCTTAACGATTTTAATTAACTTCTTTAAGTAGTTATATAGTCGACTGTATTATTACTATGTATTCTCAGAAGCATAAGGAAGTAAAGATAAATACCATATAGTTTGAATGTTTAATAGTTAATTCGCTGGAAATAAATGAAAATTAAAAACAGACAGTTTTTTTTCAGAAAAATTCACTTGCAAACAGTCAGGAATCGACACATCGCAATATTATTAGTTTGTTGGGGATACTTGACAATATTTTGTAAATTTTTTACAGAATTTTTCATGGGCTTGATATTTTACAAGAAATTATTGAAATACCGGTGATATCTTTATTTTGATTCTTTTTGGTAAATTTATCCCCTTCCTCTATCTTGACAAATTTGTTAGAAACTAGCTAAAATAAAGCGAGGTGCTAACTTACCTCGAGATGTGCGATAGATATAAATATATAAATATATATATATATATATATATATATATATATATAAATGTTGAAATAGTTACTCGCTAGTCCTTGTCGTTATTTTCAGGTAACGTTAAAAATGGGACCATTAATTTTGAAAATTTAAGATCGCTATTCTCATCTGGTAATCCGCTATTTGCACGTCGACTTTTTTTATCGTTAACATACAAGAGAAAAATAATATTCCAAATATGAAGAGATTTCATCGAGAAGTCAAAATTTTTGAATAATTAGTCCGCCGTATTGGATTAGCTATTTCTGAATTTTAAAACTTCGACTTCAGATGCGTAATCAGCGACCTCGACGATACTTAGATGCCCCATTTCCAAAAATTCCATCGAGAAATGTATGGCTCAAAGGGTTAATAACTGTGTAATTAATGATCAGTAATAATAATAGTGACAATTTGATTTACCTTCATGGGATACATATCCATGGTAGCGATGAAGAGGAGCAAATGAAAGTCAGAGGTTGCCTCTAGGAATTGATCCGCGTTGAACTGCTGCATGTACGTGCACAATGCACTGAACTCCTGAACCTGTCCATCAATTTGCCTGAAATAAAAATATCGATATAACCAATTCTCATACAGCACTGTTTTCATATAATCAATAATTCACCGATGTTTATCCATACATTTCTCTGAACCGTCATACCTATTCTCGACCGGAAACGGAGTGATCTTGTCATCTGTGAAGAACGTGAACTGAGGAGTGAGTGGTGTAGATGCGGGCACATCCACTAGCAAATATTCTACCGGTAAAGGTCTCGCTAATCTCGACACCTCGTTTCCATATGTGTCTTTCTCCTGAAAAATATAAGTATGCGTGTACATTATACGTGTATATATATATATTTTTTTTTGTTTGTGTCTTTCCTATCCTATCTTTCTCCTAAAAACATAAGTATATATGTACATTATACATGTATATATATATTTTTGTTTACCCTTCCATGTCTTTCTACTAAAAAATTTAAGTATGTATGTATATTATATGTGTATATATTTTTTTGTCCCTCCCATATGTGTCTTTCTCATGAAAAATATAAGTATGTGTGTATGTTATATATATTTTTTTTTGTCTCTGAAAATTTACATATTGTTTAATTTTACAAAATCCACTACGTATCAACACTCGTCTAATTATTCCCTTCATTCATAATTAGCGACGTGAAGTACGTGCGACGAACACAAATCACCAGGTTAGTTGCCGCGCGCAACGGCAGGTATGACGACGACGACGGCAATACGACCAGGAGGCAAAACACTTTGCGAAGGACTCATTGGACGAGATAAACTTATAGTGGGGTTAGGGATGAAGATGGAAGAAGCGAGAGGGAGGCCGGAATGCGGAGGGAAGAGGAGAGAAGCGCGCGACGGAGCGCGCGTAAACGAGCAGCGAGCGAGCGCGCCGCGCGGCGGTGTGTCGGTCGGTCGGTCGCCATGCCAGTAGTAGTTAGTTTAGTGAACCAAATATCATGATGTGGCAAAACGTTCGCACGAGCTGAGGTTCGCCCGTCACCGTTGCCGTGTTTTAGGCCGCCGGCATATTCGCGTCGGTAATGCCATTATCGCCACAGTAGTAACTCACCACGTTCGATAAATATGTATTAAATACGTAACGCAAAAAGTACAAAAGAAGAGAAATATATATATATATATATATATATATATAGACACATACACACGGACACATATAGGAAACGAGCGAGGATATATACGTATATACATATTTACGAGGTAAAGAAGAAAGATGTAAGACACGGAGAACGCATGCGACTCGATGGCGAAAAGACCGCGACGAGCACGATAATTACGACCAGGACGACGACGACGAAAATTGTGTCGGTGGTGGTAGTGTTCGTGGTAGTAGTAATAGTAGTAATGGTGGTGGTGGGTACTCCGTGCGAGCAGAATCACACGACGTCAGGCGTCTCGATGTAAATCAAAGCCGTCGCCGTTGTCGAATTACCACCACACGTCGGCGCTGAAAACGGACCGTCGCCGTGGCGAACGTCGCCGTGGCGCGCGTCGTGAGTGACACGACGACGAGTGCCGCTGACGATCTCAGCTTCCATAGCGCGGCTACGGGACGATCGTGATACACGTATATACACGGTATGGAGAAACATTTACAGATTTATTGCTCGGGAAGTTGAAGAGAGAGAGAAAGAGAGAGAATGTGTGTGTATAAGTGAGTGAGCAAGAGAGATCGAAAACTACTACACACACACATATATATATATATATATATATATATGAGTGTGTATGAGAATTACTGTGTGGGCAAGGAAGAGACAAAGATCGACAGGCGCGAGAGAGAGAGACGATCGTAGTGCGCGCGCGCACACGTCCATAGTTGCGGAGGGAGGAGAGCGAGGTTCCCGCGGAATCCGCTCCGACACGCAGTAGTCCGCGAGCAGTTTCAGGTCTGAATGTTGGTGCGCGCGCGCGCGCGTCGGACGAATTCGCGACACGAACGACGACGCGGCGTAGCTATCGCGTGTAGCAGGTAAGCCGACGTGCGGTAAATGTGCGCCGAAATCCATATATCACGCGGCACAGCTCATTATTACGTTGCACCCTGCGTGTGTGTATATTGTGTGTGTGTACGTGCGCGGCCCGATGATACCCCCGGGTGAAGAAATTCCGGCGACACTCGATGATTCTCTTATCTCCTTCCGTCTCGTTCTCCGAAAGGACACACGATTCTCCCCTACCTCGCCTTTTCCGCTTGGAAAGTGCGCGCGAAAGGAAGCATCGTGCGTTGGTTCCGGTCTACAATGAGTGCTTTAAGCTCTAAGCCTTAAGAAATTGGCCAATCACAGACGAATTATAGAAGAATAATCAATCGTAATTGGTCAATTTCTTAAGGCTTAGCACTTAAAGCACTTATTGTAGACCGGGACTTAAGCGGGATCTACAATGAAAATTTAAGTCGTGAAACTTGAGAAATTGGTCACAATTTCTTAAATCTTGCGTCTTAAATTCTCACTGTGGACCCCACTTTAACGAACTTTAGCGAACAGTCCCGAGAGAGGCGTCGATGTACGCGATGCTCCCGTATGACGACTCGGTTTTGGCGGGATTTCCGCGCGCATGCGCGCAAACCTAATATACACCACGCGAAATCGTTCTTTATCCTCTTTCGATTTCTCTCTCTCGCGCGCGCGCGCGCGCGCACGCGACGACGTGACGTCGTCGGCAACGCGCGGTCGTGTTCCCGCTGAGCTCTGTCTCGTTGCATAATGACTTATCTATCGCAGCCTGATATCACGATGGATGAATATCGGGTCTACCTAACATTTACGTAACCTAACCTAACCCGACCTAACGGAGATCTCGCTCGCTCGTTCGTGCGTGCATTCGGGCAGGCGGACACGACGCACGAGGCCGGATCGGTCCCTGGAATATGGCGAACGCGCCAACGAGACTCCGAGTTCGCGTCCGATAAACGTTCGGGAACATCGTCGTTGTCGTTGCGACGACAACGAACTTGCGTGAGAACGGATATACATCCGCGAATTCGTGAAAATCACAAAGTGCACCGAGACGGAGAATCACACACATATATACACACTCCCTGTACACGCAGAATCTGTATTAATTGCCCACAAGACAGGAAGTGACTTGACCGTTCTTACACACAGTGGTATCACAGGTGTGTTTTTTCAGCTGCGCGCATTTTTTTTCATCATCTTCAAAATGAAACCGGCGTGTATCTTTGGGATTTGGTCGAGAGAGAGAGAGAGGCAAAGAGAAATCGGGAGAGAGAGAGAGAGAGAGAGAGTGTGTGTGTGTGTTGAGAGTGAGTGAGTGAGTGAGTGAGTGAGTGAGAGAGAGAGTGAGTGCAGTTAGAAGGAACAAACCTTGTGTCATGCATGACGTCAAAGGGTTAAGAAGCGGCCGCGCCGCTCGTCGGCTTTGTGGACGAGTTCAAGTACGCGACGCTTTCCCGCCTTTTCACGGCCCAGATAGCTCTCTCTCTCTTTCTCTCATCGAACGACCATACGACCGAGTGTTTACCGTCGTCACGTGCATGTATCGTATGCGTATCGATTCTCTGTTTCCTGAATTGCGAGGCACAGCAGCAGCCTCCATCGAGAGTTGCGCGAAAGAGAGATTGTGTCGCAAAGCTAGTTTCGTCGTCGGCAACAAACGAGATACCGACAACGTGGAGGATCGTGTTATTCGCACGCGCCAAAGACACACGTATTTATTAACTGTTGGGGAAACGTCGATGACTCGATGACGCACGGAGCGCGCGCGCGATATGGGTCAAGGAATCGGACAAAACACCAACGCGGACATGAAATCGGGAAAGTCCACGACGACGGAATGTCAGACGAGTCTACAACGACGGCGGCGGCGCGTAGATTACAGTAAATCGCGACGATAAATAGTGAGGGAGAAAATTTGTGAGGAAAAATGGTGGTGGTGGTGTATGTGTGTTCGTCGTCGCGTGTGCGGCGCGCGCGCGTAAGAGAGAGAGAAATATGAACGACGGTATGTACCGAGCGTTTTGTTTACATAACGCGAACGATGTTTGATCCGACCTTTGGGGGGGAACGTTTACGTCTCTCTCTCGCGCGAGCAAGCGACATATGAGATTCCGTGCGCGGAATAATCAGGGTCGCGTCCACAGTTCTCTCGCGCACGATTCGCGCTGGTTGCAGCGAACAGTGAACATTCGTTCGTTTGTTCCGCTCATTATTACCAAAAATGCGCGGCAACGCTTCTCTTTGTTCCATTTTGTATGTGTGTGTCATGACACAGGTCTCTCACACACGTACTCCTCCGGCCATTCACGTCGCGGTTTTTATTATTCGCGCGCGTCATTCGCTGAGGGAAGTAAACAAGCGTCACGTGTAACTCTCTCTCTCTCTCTCTCTTTCTTTCACATAGATAGAGAAGGTTTTGGAGGTTAAATCGCATCGGAGCGTGCGCTGGTGTGGTGGTGAAACGTCCGTTCGCGCCGCAATACGGAATTTCGACGCTACCTCTGCATTCGCGATTCGTAAAGCCCGTATCAGACTACGGATTGGAGATTAAGTTAAGTTTGGCCAATCGGTACAAAGTTAATTGACCTGAAATTCAATGAAATTTAGTGAACTCTACACCGATTGGTCAAATTTCAATTCAATCCTCAATCTTCAATTCACAGTCTGGTAGGGCTTAAAACGTGGTCCACAATGGACGATAGAGGTATGTTGTATGTTTGTATGAAGGAAGAGTGAGAAATTAACCAATTATATTCGAATGTAAGGAGAATAATCGACTATGACGATGGTTAATTTTTTTACTCTTCCTTCTTGTAAATATACTTCCCACTGCCCATTGTAGATCATGTTGAATATGATTGGTCAACTTCATACTCTTACTTCTTATGAAATATACTCCTACTGTCCATTGCAGAATATGCTTAAAACGTGGCTACAACGGGCAGTAAGAATATATTTGTATGAAATAAGAGTAAGAAATTAATTAATTTTAATCGATTGTTCTCCTTACATTCGAATATGATTGGTCAATTTCTTACTCTTCTCATAAACATATTCCTACTGCTCATTGTAGAGCACGTTTTACAATCATAATCGATTATTCTCCTTACATTCGAATATGATTGGTTAATTTCTCATTCTTACTTCTTATAAAAGTACTCCTACCGCCAATTAGTGGACATTTAACGCGAGACGCTGCTGCGTCTCTCGATTTCCTCATCGAAGTTGGCACTTTGATTTAACGAAATCGGGATTCAACGGGACCACGATCGTGTCTTCAGTGCGCGCAAAAACCGTGATTCGTATACTACGTTATCGCAGATACACGTAGATATATCTGCGGCTTAATATCGGCGGTTGCGATCTAATAATTTCGTTCCCGGAATACACTTTCGTCTCGTCGATATTCTTTGTGAGAGACAATATCACTGTATACACGGAAAAAAAGATTAGTCTTAAATGAAAAATAGATATTCTCAAATATGAGCAAGAATATCGTAATCTTAGGAAACTTAGTCTTGATTTGATTGAATTTATATCGATGCAAGTATCACTTGAACTCAATTCAAGGCTGAAAATCTTGAGATTTTCTCTAAGATTCCCTCTCTAAGATTATAATACATTCTTGCTTATATACGAGAATATCTACTGTTGATATAAGATTAATTTTTTCCCGTATACTTATCGTCTTTGTTCTCTCATAGTATAACATACGGCGTGCGTATGTGTGCGAAATGACGAAAAAAAAGATAGAAGAAAGAGGCGAAAAAGTAATACACATTCATCATATTTCCAGATGCTGGATCCGAGCGTGCTAACGGACCTGGAGGAGCTGACGCTTTGCAGTTACTGCAAGCAGAAGTACAATGACGCGGAGCAGTGTCCCAAGTATCTCAGTTGTAAACACTACTTCTGCCTGCGCTGTATCGAGAGCAAGCTGTTCACCGAGAAGGCGACGAGACGCGAGGTTTTGTGCGCGCATTGCTGGAAGACGATGGACCTGGGCGACCAGGAACCGGACGCCCTACCGACTCACTCCTCCCTGCTCACCCTCGCTAACAACCTGTCGCACCTCAAACTCACGACGAACAGCACGCCCGGCAAGCCCGGCGATAAGGAGAGAAAGGTAGCGATCCGTACGCTGAAAGGAGGATTTCGTGATAAATACGAAGATTTGCCGAATATTCGCCGGCCAACATATTTAGTTACCGCAACCGAATAATTTAGAATTCCGTATATATTGTATATAGGGTACTGTAATTCCGTATATTGTATATTTAGTATACAGAAATAAATTGTTCGGTTGCAACGATCAAACATATAACCGGCGAATATTCGCCAAATTTTCATACTTAGTAACAAATCCTTTTTCCAGTGCATCAGTCGATTATTCAAGTTTTCCCGCGTGCTTTTTGAATATATCGTGATTGGGTCACAGTTTAATGTTCGCTGTTAAAACACAGCCCGAAAGACGCTTATTTTCAAGCGTGACTGTTCGTGTAAAACAATCGTTGCGAGTACACTGAGAAAAAAGTTTGGCAATAGCTAACAAATGCATTTGGTTGAGTGGTTCGGTATAATACTTGTTAATTAGTACCAGGTATAGCGATAGTTATCAACTGTCTGGTAATAATTGCAAAATGAACAGTAATGTACGATTTTTCATTGAGTTGACCTGAAATGAATTATCGAGTAAATACAATACCACGTAATTTAATAGCCAAATAGTTTGACAGCTCTTACCCAAGTATTTTTGCAACTATTACTAAATAATTTTTACAATAACATCACAGGAGGTCAAAAGAGTGTGTGTATCGGATCAAGAGCTCGAGAGTAGCTCAGGTGGTAGCGGAGTCGCCTGGAGAGCGAAAAGTTCGTCCCGATACAATTTTATCTGAAATTCTTACGGTGAAAAGAACTTGGTGACTTTTCAGAATTCTCAAGGCACCTTAGAATCCGTGGGAATTTAAATTTATCGTTCGTATCGTCGAAATGTTACAACAAGTCCTTTACATATTCTCTTTTGCAAGTGTTACCAAACGAAGCTGTCGTCGAAATATCGTTTTGTTTAACTGATTGTTCGGTGATATCTACCATATGTAATTTGATAATAATTACCAAGCTTTGCTAAGATAACGTTTTCACTATTCATTAAATTATTTGGCAATATATTCACCTTATATATTTAGTTGAAACTAATTCGCTAAACCATTTAGTACCACAATCCAGCCAAAACGATCATTACCGAATCTTTTTTTTTGTGTACGCAACGAACTGTGATCGAGTCGACTAATCTACAAGTTAGATTCATTTAAATCCAACATGCGTCTTCATTACCGAGTTACCATGTAGTTCATAAGAAGTTTAGACTATTTAAAAGTTGCAAATCAATTCCAGGTCTACCGATGTATTTTCATGTTAGCTAAAAGTATGTCATTCCTGCGTTAATTTCCGATTGGTCGACGCTAATCATAAAGTTCGATTCGAGAACGTTGCGACGATACATCGCGCGCGTGTGTGTGAGTGATAAAATGTGACGAATTCTCACCGGTGCTTAGAGGGATGGGAGGATAACCGTTGAAAAGGGCGAAATATACGTCGCGTATAGACGTAGGGGCGCGCGTTGCAAACGCGAAGCCATAGCAAGAGGAAAACTGTTACGACGAGTAAATGGGATGATGTTGTAAGAAAGTTGCTTTCTTTCTGCTACGTGCAGCCAGTTCTATCCTCGAGATATGATTTTGCGATCATTTCTGTCGTCCGTACTTCGCTTTGTGTTATTGAAAATGTCCGAAGCTCCCGATTCTCCGCTGTAATTGTCCTTGTTTAGTGACGTCAGAAACGAGGAATCGCATGCCAAGATATTAATCTATATTAATATTAATATATATCAAAATATTATGATATGCGTGGAAGTGAAAAAAATACATACATGGCACTCACGGTCGATTCAGCACACTTGCAAAATGCCTGGACGCTTTACTTTAATCTGAACAATTCTAATGAGCGGCTGTAAAATTAATACAACAGAAATCGTGAGGGAAAATAAGTTAAAAATATAAGTTGCACGTTACATTAATTTATTGATCGTTGAAGAGAAAACGTCCGAATACTTTTGCAAGTGTGCCGAATCAATTGTGAGAGTGTCATTTTGTGCATATATTCGTTTATTTCCACGCATATCGTAGTATATTTTGACGTGTAATTTCTCGCTTCTGACGTCATCAAAGAAGGACGGCCGTAGCGTGGAATTAACAGGTCGATTCTGTAACTTTCAATAATACTGTCATCATCATTACGATATCGTTGCGTACTTTTTTCTGCTTTTTATGTTACACTCGCGCAACGACGATGCAACGATAAAGACGCTGTCGTTAACGGTTACAGAATTAGTTACATAATGGAAACCTCTGTTTTTTTTTATTATATTATCTTGTTCTATTAATTAATTTGAACAACTTTTGTCTGAAACATTTTTCCCTAAAACGCATCGTTTACGAAATATTCGACCGTTTCTCCAGATTTCTGGGACTCCCCGCGTTATCATAACGTCATGTTTTTTTTTTTACGCAATGACAGGGGTTGTAACTTGCATAATATATTACTGACTTCAGCCGCAATCCACATATCTGTTCGAAAACGACGAAACGGCTCTTCCCTCGTTTAACCGATTATCAGTACAGATTGAAACTGTTTCGCAGAGCGAGAACTGTCACACGCACGGGATGCCGCTGGCACTGTGGTGCGGGACGTGTTGTACGGCGCTTTGCAGGGCGTGCGCGACCCCGCAGGAGCACCCTGGCCACCAGATCAAGTCGCAAACCGATGCCAAAGAACAGCTCATATCCGACGTAAGTATTGTTTTTTTTTCCACTTTCCACACCGGTTGCTTCCCCGTCGTCGTCGAGAAACTTCCCTTGAGACCCCCACTTCGAGAGTGACCGATGGAAGTGGTACGAGGAATCGACCAACGTGGACCCACGGGAAGAGAAGCACGCGTGACTTTGCTCGTCCGCAGGTACAACTGGAATTAGTCGCCGTAGGTAAACTGTCGACGGAGATTCAAAGACTGGCTATGCAGCAACGCGAATTCCTCATCAAGGTGCTGGAGGCATGCGTCACGCTGAAGACGCACGTGGAGACGGACCTGCAGAATGGCTGGAGCCACTTCCCGGAGATAACGGACGCGCGCGAGACCCTGGGCAAGACCAAAGCCGGTCTGCAGATGAGCGAGACGCCCGGCGACGTCTACAGTCTCCACGCGCAGCTCGTCCTCGAGAAACAGAGGCTACAGTCCAAGTATCAGGAGATGATGCTGCAGTGCCAGCTGGACGATCTCATCGGCAATTCCGGCGTCATCTTCGACTTCGCGTTACTTAAGCAAGCACTGGCTGGCATTCACACCGGCGACCCGATCGTTCCTCAGGGAATGGTGGGAAACGGCGGTGGCGCCGGCGGCCGGCTGAATCACTTGGCGGCCTCGCAGAATCCGATATTGTTCCTCGCGAATTACTGCATGTCGCAGCTTTACACGCGCCACGTAGTCAGCAAGCAGCAACAGCAGCATCATCATCATATGCAGAACGGCACGATCGAGTATCACTCGAGTATGATGCCACAGCAGCAGCAGCAACAAGGCTCCGTTCACGTCCATCAGGGCCCGCCGCCACCACCGACGCAAACTGGCCAGCAGCAGCTTCTCATTCCACCGGGTTCGCCGTCCGTCAAGCCCGCGCCCGGCGCCATGTTACACCCGCAACAGCAGCAGCAATCGACGTTCCTGCCCGACCCGGTCGGCGGGGGCGGGGGCCTGGTGACCGTTCACTCGTCTCCCCAGCCGCCGACGGCGAGTCTGCGCGGCCCCCCCGCGAATCCGTACCCCATGTACTATTTCAACATCCAGGTGAACGGCTCGCCGCACGGCCGTATCGTGATCGAAGTCAGGCCGGACGCGGCGCCGAAGATGTCGAAGAACTTCAGCGTGCTGTCGACGGGCGAGGCCGGCATCAGCTACGAGGGCTGCACGATATTCCAGTGCTGGGACGGCGAGTCCGTCATCACGGGCGACTTCGAGCAGAACAACGGCCGCGGCGGGCGCAGCATATTCGAGGACAGCTACTTCATGCCGGACGACACGAAGTTCCCGGCGGTCAGAGGCGCGGTCGGGATGCGACGCACGCAGAAGCGGCACGACAACCTCGGCATGGTGGGATCGCAGTTTCGCATAATATTGCAGGAAATGCGCGGCTTCACCGGCATATTTGGCCACGTGGTCGAGGGTCTCGAGCTTGTCGAGAAGATATCCAAGTTCGGCGATCAAACCGGCAAACCCACCAAGAATATTCTAATCACCAAGTGCGGCAAGTTGTAACGTTGATTGATTACGCGCGCTTTGGTTATCATCGCGCGGCGACCGTTGCCGACGTGTATAGNATATATATATAAGCCAAGCCGTAACGTTCTCCGCTGTTAAGTAACCGAACGAGAGAGAGTCGCGACGGTGTCCCCGAATATATCGATACGTTCGGTAGTTGGTAGGAGAAACTTACGCGCACGAGGGAAGTACTCGGGAGAGAAAGAAATGGGAAAGTCGTCTACGTCGTGTAATTGATTGCACAATGTGCAATGTATGTATGTACAATGCAGTCGCCTTTTCCGACGAAACAAGTCGTGTTCCTCGTGTCTCTCTGCGCACAGAAATTTCAAATCCAGCCGTGGAATTTGCCTGTCGGGACTTTGAAATATCACAACCTCGAAGCGAAGAAACGCCGTTTTTTTTTTTTAAGATTTCTAAGTTAGTAAATAATGAATGGAACGAAGTGAGATACGAGTTAACTCTACCAACGGGATTGGCATTTGGCATTCGAAAAAATTTATCGAAAATTATATATTTTCCTGGAAAGAAGCCTTTTTAATCCGCGGAAACCAATAACCCGACCTAATGTGATCACATTTTCTCAGCGGATATCCGTCAATATTTGAAGCAAAAAATTGGATCGATTTTCGTGAAATGTGGTATCCTAAAGGGTTTCTCGAGTTGCTGATCACAAATCCGAGGTCGAAAATTAGAAGAAATATCCAAATCTAACATGGCCCTAAAACGAAAACGTGACATTAGGTGAAGTTATTTATTTCCGTAGATAACAAATATTTTTCCTCTCCAGAAAAAATACATGATTCTGGGTATAAATTTTTTTTTTCATGCTGAATATGATCGTTGGAATTCGCGTATCTCGCTTTTCATCTCATCGTTATCTTGACTCCAAAAAATGGTGCATTTCTCGCGCTTTCAGGTCAGATTATCTCGAAATACCGACACGCGATATGAAAATTCCGCAGTTGGATTTGAATTCGAAATTGAAGCGCATTGGAAAACATCGGGAAATGACTATTGAAAATGAAGAGGGAGGGGGAGGTTCAAGACCTCTCTCGATACGCAGGTCTATGTTATCTGACGGGACAGGAAACAATTATTATTATTATTAATTTACGAAGTATTTCTGAGTATGTCCGCTACAAAGGACACCGTCGCGACGATCACCATAACTCTACGAATCCTCGAACGCTCCGTATCGAATCACGCAACTTAACTGTTAACAATAGTGTATCTTAAAAAAAAAAAGAGATGTCGAGTCTATATATTTTTAAAACGTGAGCGCGTGCGAGAAGATAAAAAAGAAGAAGAAGAAACAAAGATCAATATTTTGCTATTTTGCGGGAATCTGACCGGGATTCTGCGCCGAAACAATAACGAGAGACGGTGAGAGATCGACAAAACACACACACTTACACACACACATACGTACCTCAGAGATCGATCGTGATATATATATATATCGATTACGACTTCTAGCTGATACGACGACGATTTGTTTTTTTTTCTAGGGAGAGAAAAGTCCGAAACCGTTTATTTTAGCTATCGGCGTTACTCCGCTGCTACTATATATCGTTTATATATATATAGTTAAAGAACGTTGTCGCGCGATAGAGATAGAGAGAGAAGGAGAATAACGTGATTCTCCGTTCTGCGGGCGCAGCTGATATTTTAGGCCGTAGATAGCGATAATAAAAAGATGTGTGTAATACGTGTGTAGAGACACGTGTGCGAAATTTAAGAATAGTGAAATCAGGGCGAGTGTACACGCGTGTATACACACACACACACATATACACACATACACACACAATGCTATTCGTAAACGGAAGAAGTATAAACGCGCGTTAAATATGTCGACTCTTGCGAGATTCTTTTGTGAATGATATACAGATACATTATATATACGCACGCGGGCGCGCGCATTTTCTGCAACGTTGTCTGAAAATCGTATCTCACGATTCCACACACATATATATATATATATATATATATATCTATATGCAGGTCTCGTTTATAGAATATTAGCTGGAGAGATTACGAAGAGAAAAATGGCGATGCGTAGCTCTAATGCAGAGAAAATAATCTACGTATACACAGCGGGGTCAGCAATGAGAATTTGAGGCGTGAGATTTAAGAAACTGACCGATCATAATTGATTTTTCTTCTGTAATTCCATCGTGATTGGTCAATTTCTTGAATTTCCGCAATTTAAATTCTCATCGTAGGCCCCACTTGAAGCACCTATCGGCATAGGTGACCCGATCACGCGCGTCGTTCCGTTCCTGTATCCCACGAGGGAAGGAACCGAAAGGGGGAGAGGGGGGGGGGCAAAAAGAGAGACCGTCAATCTCGCGCGCGTTTCGCGAGAAAGAAGAATTCCGCCGCGCTCGCTCGCTCGGATACGCGAGCGTCTTTTCGTTTTTTCGTGTGTTCGAAGTGTAATGACGAACCGAACCGACATGAATCAATTGTATTTAAGATTAGATCTCAATACTGCAAGTGTATGCAAGGCCTAATTACTACTACACTATTACTATTACGCTACTATTATTACTACTATCGTATAGACAGTAAGCCTCGTCGTCGTTGATTTGAAGAGCGAGCGAAAAGGAAAAACAATGGAAATACGCGCGAATACACATCTATATGTGTATATATTTTGTGTGTGTATATTATGGGTGTACGCGCGACCCACATACACATACACATGTATATGCACGATGTTCTATTTTAATAAAAAATAGTTGCATATCTCAGAAAGCACTCGAGAGAAATTGAAGTGCTTTTCGGAATATACGACTATCGAGAAATGTTACAGACTGAAGTTATCCAGTTCTGAAAGGGACACGTGTAACAGTAATGTTACTATAACCTCTGTCTGACATGATTTTTTTTCCTAAGGGTAATTTCAGCAGTTTCTACGGATTCGTAGATCTTCGGACATGATTGGAGATTAATTTGAGATTTGAGACTCGTTATTCTGCGTATAAAAATATCGAAGTGTCTTCTATTCTGATTATTATCAAAAAGAAATATTTCGTCAAGTTCACTTTTCGATGACCTCGATATTTTTAGATGTAAAATGACGAAAGATCAATGAATGTAAGAGCAAACGTACAAGAGAGAAACATTTAGAAAAATCGCAGGATAACGAGTGGGATTGGTTTCTGAAAAAGGAAGAACAATGCTATTTGAAGTACTAAAGTAAAAACCTTGGAATGACTAAAAAAAAAAACTTCAAGATCATAATATTGTCATATATTGTGTATTCGCCTTGAGACTAAACTTTAGTCCGTAATATTTTTTCGATATCTCGAATATCTTCTGAAATGTCCAGCTGTGTCTATTAAAAGAGAACACCCGTTATAAATATATGTGAAACACACACACACACACACACACACACACACACACACACACACACACACACACACACACACACAAAACCATTCCACGATAGTATATCGAAATAGTACGATGTAGTGTAACTGCGTTGTAACTACTCGTCTGAGAAGCTCGTATAAAAATCCCAAGCGTCGTTACGTAATCGTATTTTACACACCGTTGTGTTAACGCGCGCTAAACGTTCATTCTAACACGTTAAGGGTGAATTTCGCGAAACATGTGACGTGTGTTTCCAAACGCGCGTACAAAAGAAGGACACACACTCACACATACACGCACGTTTAACCGTTGTATAGCGAAAAATTGCACGCCCTCTTGCGAATGCCTTCTCGAGGAAAGCCTCATGCCGATGTTGACAACTTGAAAGTTTTAACACTTGTTGACGATTAGTTGATAAATGAGGAGGGTAAAAGAGAGGGGGGGGGGAGGACACGACGCCTCGCATAGTCGGTATCGCGCACGCGCGGTTCTTCGCGATGCTGTCGTCGTCACGATGATCACGTGCGACGATAAAAAGCGCGCGAAAAGCGCGTTTCACGTCTTCTTTAAGGATAATATATGACACTCCTGTATATGTACAATGTTACTACACGACGACCGGAAGCGGAAGTAATTGTGTTCGAACGAACGAACGAATCAATGAATGAGTGAACTTCTCTCTCTCTTTCTCGTTTTCGTGTCGAGAGAGAGAGAGAGAGAGAGAGAGAGAGAGAGAGAGACGAGACTCCGATAAATTTAATCGTAGCGAGTAAAAATCGTTGAACCGTGTAAATGCAATCGTGAGAGAGAGAGAGAGAGAGAGAGAGAGAGAGAGAGAGAGAGAGAGAAAGAAATACATATTTACCGAAAGCGAGCGAAGCTACAGGCCTGCCTGTACACACACACATACACACACACACACAGAAAAAGAGAGAGAGAGAGAGAGAGAGACATACATACACGGGACATCTATGCGCGTGCGTATGTACATACGAACTATATATATATATACATATATATATATATTTTTATGAACGTGATGAGGTAAAACAACGCATAGCTTGTAATATCGATTCTAAACGACCGACCGACTTAGTTCACTTTGTCTCTCGCGTGTGCGATTAAAACGATTGAGAGAGCGGCTGTAAACCATATACTTGAATGTAAGTTTCTTTCCTTGCCCTTCTACCTCGCAGTTGTTTCTGTCTCAGTACCCGCGTACTATTGTTAGCCCCAATTTTTTGGTATCTCTCTCTCTCTCCCCCCTCCTTCTCCCTTTTTTCACGCTCTTTTTTCCTTCCTTTGAATTTAAGACGTAACGTTCATCAATTGAGAGAACACAAAAACTCGCGACTGTTTTTGTTTTTCTGTGCCTTGCGACAATAACACACATACACACACACACACAACAGAGAGCCGTGTCTCATTGAAATGATTTTATTATTTCTTTATACATTACGGAACCCCCCGTATATACGTTCATTGCCTCGACATAACTGTAACTCTTTTAATCGATTGATCTTGAGTTATTATAAAACTGTTCTCCTCTCATATGAATATAATAATTTTGTGCGTACAACCTTATTCTACAACCTGTATATGCCTTCGAATTGTGCGATACATTTCCGGTGAATGTTAAGATGGACGCGCGAGAAATTTCGAAGAGGCACTTAATTGAAGTAGTATAAAGGGACGAAAGAAAGTGAGATTGATTGATTGATTGATTGATATATTTGGCGTACAAATTAATTCGGTGCCTTTGCATTTAATGTTCTATAACCGGTTCAAATTTAAATTTTTTTCCGTCGTATATGGCGAAAGTGCCAACTTTAAGAAGCGCTATAATAGTTGACGGCCTTGCCGATATGATCTCAGAAAACAATTAGTTATCACGATGTTGTTCAAAAAGAAGCATCCGAGGCACTGCATCCTTTTTGCATTTCAGTTGAATAAAAATGCCGTTCAGTCTATCGAAATGATTTGTTTCGCTTTGAATGAAGATGCTGTGACCATGAAATTTGTGAGAAAACCCTTTATCAGCAATGGAACGGGTGATTCTGCTGCACGATAACACGCGATCACATGCCGCAAAAGGGACGAAGGATCTCATCTATACATTGAGCTAAGAAATTCTCCCTCATGTGGCTCATTTGCCAGATCCAGCCCCGTCGGATTACCACCTATTTCGGTCGCTTTAACATCATCCGGCGGATACGCATTTTAAAACAGTAGACGAGGTCCGGGAAAGCATCGATGACTTTATCGAATCAAAACCGCCAAATTTTTTCCCCCCAAGGGCATTCATCAGCCATCCGACAGATGGAGTAAAGTCAAAGGAATAACGAAAATTATTTCGAACAATAAACTTGTACTTGACTCTTTGTAAATAAACTTAGGATTTCACGAAAAAAAGGCACTGAATTAATTCGCACACATAATATACTTTAACTTACCTTATAGAAGACATCCGGGACGTATTGCTTATCGGTCGACTCGATTACGTAGCCTAATTCCGGCGCGTCTTTTGTAGGAACCAAACAGCTATCTCGTACCAACGCCATGCACTGATTCGATACCTGATAGCCCTCCATGTGAACTTGATTTTTGTCGTCACCTGTAACACAAATAAGGAAGGAAACTTATTTTCGAGTGATATTATAACTCGCGTTGAAAACATGAATTTTCATCTCAGGTCGATCGAAAATTTCGACTCTGTCCTGTAATGCGCTTATACTATGCGGAAAAAAAAGAAGAAACTGACGACTTTCTCGACCGAATGTAATATTTTCAGAGAGAATGCGTACAAAATAAAAAAAAAGACAAGATTGACTCACCTGTAACGCAAACGGTGACGAATTTCGAGCCGAAATAACCATTAGGTGAAAAACGGCAAGGATTTGGGTATTGATTTTGGTAGTACCCAGCCATAATGCATTCTTGAGCGGATAGAAAGTGGCTCTCTATATTACGAACGTGCTTGACCTATTCGAATAAAACTCGTGGCGGTTAATCCGAATCAGGCATAATCCGTTACACAAATAACGAAGTAAATATAGAAGAAATATCAAATTACCGTTCCCTTCTTGACATTGTCGGCTATGAGGTCAGTGAAGATCCATCCAACTCGCCATAGATTAAGCGTGCGGCCTAACTCCTCGACTAAAGCTTCTCTCTCATCCGGTAAAAGTCTTATTGTGTCTTTTGTACTTTCCTGATCAATCGACGCATGCGTCAATGTTTAGAACTTTAGTATCAATAGACCACGGAAATTTATGAGATTTCACGGTGAATTTTTTTTCTTTTTTTTTTCATATAGGCAACGCCGAAGGCAGACGCAAAGAAAATTCAGTCGGATCTTACCACGATATCACGCGCGCAATCGTTGTGAAATCTTATAAATTTCCATAATATTAGGTGTACAAATTAATTCGATGCATTCCTTCCATTTAATGTCTTACAACTCTAATTCAAATTTAAATTTTTTTCTCGTCCTATATATGGTGATTTAAAACCAATCTTAAGCTTTAAAAAGTGCTATAACAGTTGACGGCCTTCGGAAAACAGTAGTTATCACGATGTTGTTCAAAAAGAAGCATCCGAGGCACTGTATCCTTTTTGCACTCCAGTTGAATAAAAATGCTGCTCGGTCTACCGAAATGATTTGTTTCGCTTTGGGTGAAGGTGCTGTGACTCGTAAAACTTGTGAAAAGACTTTTTACCAGCGACGGAACTAGGCAGGTGATTCTGCTGCGCGATAACGCACGGTCACACGCCGCAAAAGGGACGAAGGATCTTATCTGTATATCGGGCTGGGAAATTCTCCCTCATGCGGCTTATTCGCCAGATCCAGCCCCGTCGGATAACTACCTATTTCGGTCGCTTCAACATCATCCGGCGGATGCGTATTTTAAAACAGTCGTCCAAAAAAGCATCGATGACTTTATCGAGTCAAAACCGCCAAGTATTTTTCGCGAAGGCGTTCATCAGCCGTCCGACAGATGGAGTAAAGTCATAAAAAACAATGGAAATTATTTCGAACATTAAACTTGTACTTAACTTTTTGTGAATAAACTGTGAATTTCATGAAAAGAGACACCGAATTAATTTGTACATCTGATAGATCTCATGATAAATGTACATATTCGTAGATCCGTCGAAGTTTAACGCGACGTTACGTACCTGCGGTGGCTCGTATATAGCCGCGACGACAGCCCTAATTCCTAGCGGGACGTCCGAATGCATCTCGTATCTGCCGTAGAGATAGCCGATACGCTGGAGGCCGGTGCCGCGCCAGTAATTGAGGAAACGCTCCACCAAACTGGCATTCTCGAACATGACGTTGTCCACGTGGCGATAAGTTTGGCGATTGAGCGTGATCGAGGGTGGCTGGCATTTACTGCAGATCCCTCGGGGCCACGGTGGGTGATCCTTGCAGCCAGTCTTTACACGGCAGCTTATGTCATCTAATTGTATAAACTTGCCCCTGACACGACAAATATATTGATATAGTTGAAAATGCTTCTTGTCATTCTTTAATAAGATTTAGCACGACATATATATAGGGTGTCTCGAAACTTACGGTAAATATTTTAATGGTTTAAATTCTTCATATTATTCTAAAACGAAAGTTCTAATACGAAAGTGTCGAGGCTGTAATAGTTTTCAAATAAAAAGAGGAATTTTGCGCCCTACAAAGATGTCGAAATACCCAATGATAAATGCTTTCACGAACTGAGTATTTTTCGTGTACGATGGTAATGAAATTGTACAAACATCATTTTATTAAGAAATCTTCTGCTTCTCTCTCTCTCTCTCTCTCTCTCTCTCTCTCTCTCTCTCCACACGTGTAACTAAGTTTTTATAAAATCAGTTCAAAATATTATAAATAGTGATTCAATAATTTAATATATAGAATTTACTAAAAATGTGGAAATTCCTTAAGACTACCGGTTCCTCACTGTAACTATCCTTGTCTGATGACGTCAGAGGTGAGGAATCGCATGCCAGAAAATATTACGATATAGGATATAAAAGAATATATGCACAAAATGGCATACGTGATCGAGATTCAGCGCATTTGTAAAAATGTCTGGACACTTCTTTTAACTCGAATGATCAATAAACAGCTGTAAAATTAACGTGACTAAAATCATAAGAAAAGATAGGTTAAAAATGTAAATTCCATGTTACACTAATTTCCAGCTATCTGTTAATTGTTGAAATTAAAAGAAAGCGTCCACATATTTTTACAAATGTGCCGAATTAATCGTGATAATATCATTTTGTGCTTAAGTATTCTTTTATTTCTATATTCTCTATACTTTATATTAGAAAACAAAACACACATACACANTTAATAAAACTATCATATTCGTATATTATAATTTCATTACAATTTCATTACAATATTATAATTTCATTACAATAAAAAAAAGTTCTCGGTTCATGAAGGTATCTTTATTATTGGCCATTTTGTTATACTCGAACACGCGAAATCCTAGTCCTGTCATTCGTTACTTTAATCTCTTTCTGTTTGAAAAACTATTATAGCCTCGACATTTTCGTATTAGAACTGTTATCTTAGAATGTTACGAAGAATTTATCATTAAAATATTTATCGTGAATACTGGGACTGTACCGGAAT